ACTGGGAGTCGTCCCCCACCTTTAACCCCACCGCTGAGCACTTTGCATAATCCTGGGAGAGGGATCCCGGCCAGAGCCAGAGACAGGACCACTGGAGCAGCAGAAGAGTCTGAAGAGGCCAAAAGCAAACACCACAAATTAGTCGGCGTATAACACGGACCGGTAAATGGCTGAGAAGCCATGGAAAATGAACGAAGGGTAAGGAAAGGCATTTCCAGGAGAACAACAAATAGAAATCAAGTGAAATTCCTGGGCCAGCCAGCCTGGCAAGCAAAGTTTTCCATTTCGTTTTTCGGATTTTGCTCATCTATTTTTTTATTTTGGATTCCCGGGCAAACTTGGGGCAGCTGCCACATGGAACATGAATCAACACAGAAAGTCCTCAAAAGTTCTGGGGATGATTTAATTAGAATTCTCGAAGATGTCACCCAGGGCTATGCCCCCAGATCGGTGTGGGCCTCGCCTGGTCTGCTAAGCCGGCGTCGGGCAACGTTTAATTATGAAATTTTCAAGGCGGCAAGTTGGTAAGTTGGCAAGGTGACAAGAAAAGGCGAAAAGGGGCGCCCACCTCGAGGTATTTTGTGGTAGATTAGCCGGGCGTTCAATGTGTTGATGCGGCGGAGGCGTGGAATCCTGATTGGTGTCGAGTTTCGGGTGTTGGATGCTCGATGTGGGATGCTGGATGCTGGATGCTGGCAACGATGTGATAAGTTAATTGAAATTAAATTTTAATTTCATGGGATAAAGTTGCCTTCGACGAGATTGCTTTTTGCGGGTGGGGGTCTCTTCTCGAAATCAATATGGAAATGGAAACTAGGAGGGGGCGCCGTACGGTACGGTACGGTAAGTCCAATCAAAAAGAAATCCCCCGGGTCTATTAGCAGAATCATTTCATTTCCCTCTTAATGGCCATCTCACATGTCACGCTGCCTCTAAGAAAACTCATTTATACATTATGTATACGCCATGTTGAACACACAAGATTCAATCTACGCCGCTGCTCAGTCCTCGAAGACTGCTCGAGGATGTTAATTGAAGTCTTTCCTGCCACACAGAAACACCTTGGGTTTCCCAGGAAGCCAAACACTCAAACAATCGGAAATACGCCTCGGGCCCCAGAGTTCTACATTAGTTTTAATTATACAAATGCAAATGCAAACGACGAACCCGTCCGATTTTCCGGTTAAGTGAACAGAGGAGCTTGCGTTTCCACCAGAAATCGATTCCTCAATCATAACTACAAGTGAGCGTAATCAGCTCGGCCGGCGGGCAATAATTTTAATAGTAATTGGCCAACCCCTCGAACTTAAATCCATCGGATGTCGGTTAAATAACCAAAGCCACCCGTAGTCCTGGCCATTAACTATGCAAATAATGTGCGGGATATAGACAAAATCGCCACAAGATTAATGTTTATTGATTTTCCCGGCCAGTGATAATTTGTTACCACACCAAATTGGCCGACAGTCGGGAGGCACTGAGTAAATGCGATTTTTCTGGCTTACTTTTCTATTTCTGGGCAAAGCCATTCTAAGAATTTGATAAGCCCCTTTTGGAATTTTCTCATTCCCCTCCCCCGAAAAGTTTTTGTGGGTATTTGCATTATTAAGTACTCGCACCGCTCCCCTCGCTTTTCCGATTTCTTGGTGGTTGGTTATTGGGAAATGGGAAATGGGGAGTAGGGAATGGAAAATGGGTGACGGGTCGGTCATCCATTGAGCCGAAGGTGTCACATTGCCAGGATTTGCTTATCAGACATCAAAGGACACCTTGCGGTGCCATCTTTCCCGGATCGTTGCCATTGCAACCCGCAGCCAAAAAATGCTGGGCTGCTGGGAAAGGAAGGGGAAACTCCCTGCCAAGTTTCCGCAGCCCCTGAGTTTTCGGCTCCAGGAGGTAACTAACTTTCAGGTTTATATAAATATTTTCGTTGGCGTGTTTGTCTGGCTTCGTCTGTTTAGCATTTTGGAATATTAATTAAAACAAACTTTCGAGGAATGTGAGCATTTTTAAAAGCAAAGCTTAGGTGCACTGCGTCTTTGGCAACTTTTTTTGCCATGTTAAATAAGTTTTTGTATTTTTAAATGGAACAAAAAACATCAGAGTTCTGTTTGTTATGGAACAGTTTTTGGTGAGTAAAACACATCGACAGGCACATATAAACAACTAGATTAAATTTTATAAAAGTTCATGGTAGTTTGGGGTTCCTACAAATTGGAAACCAATTAAACTCCACAAACTTTATGGATAACTCATCAAAGCTAAATTTTTGTTTAATTCGAAATGTTTTGTTTTGTTTTTATTATTATTATTAGCTAGTTTAAAGTAACTTGACGGTTCGTTCAAGCAAACCACTAAGCCCAAGTAAAGCAGGAATATCTATTCATTCATATTTTAGAAGCAGCAAACCCCGCGATATTGAATACCTAAAAAGCTGAAGATTATAAACGATTTCGAAGACGTTAACCAAGTGCAAATTAGGGAGAAAGCCCTATTTATGCCGGCGTAAAAGAAAATAACTTTCTTGAAAATATTGATGAATAAAACAGCAGCAGACAAACTTGGCAGGAGCCTGAAGGATGGATGGTATTAAGAAGGGTCCATAATACGGGTTATTTCTAGAACATCCTTTGTTTCGGCGAAAAGGGGGAATCCTTGAAGTGAATGCCCTGGGGTCTGGGTCCGCAGCATTACCTGGATTTGCTTAGGCAAACTTCAAAGGACACTTGTTCCTGCAGGAAAGTGCTGTATTTCAAGTAACCCGTGTAGCAATCGCCGCATTTTGTCCACTCATTTATAACTGTTACTGTTTCGCTCCCCTCATTTGGGAAAAAGTGAAAACGAAACCGAAACAGCAACAGAAACCGAAACTGAAACTAAATGAATATCGAGCGGCAATCGGCAACAAAGCGGACCAACAAAAGCCATCTCACAAAACGCAAAACTGAGCGACCCAATCCCAAAACCCAGCCAGACCGAAGTCAACCTACTTTTGGACGCAACAGACTACGACCGCGCCGAGCTATATATGTATGTACCGTATACTATATGTACCATGTAACTGCACAAGGAGAAAAATGAAACAGCAAGAGGAACAAATTGGCCCAAGACACTTTTGTGTTGCCATGTCTGACGTTTGTTTCGTCCCTAAAAGTATGCAACTTTCTATTGCGGATACGTTGGTGGTCCTTTCTCTCCTATAAACCAAAAAGTTCATAAGTAACAAATTAAACTTTAGTTTTTAAATTGCAAAAATAGACCTTCCTCTCCCTCTCCCTCATCTTTCGATGCCCACTGAGAAGACTCTTGTTTTCGTTCACATACAGCACTTCCCGTAGTTTTTGATTATACTGAATCATTAACATTATAACCACTGCCCAAGTAATTTTCAAAACATTTTCTGACTGTGCATATCTTCACTCGGTATGCGCCCAGATGAGAGGCTTGGAGTGGGTTTTTAGGCAGACGGGACGAAGCGAAGAGGACCGAGTGTATGGGGGACAATTGGGCGCCCTGCGGCGGATTATTGAATTTTCCAGCATTCTCCGCTGACACTTGGCGCCTAATGTGCTACCGCTTACCTCCAGTTCGTTGTCGCCGCTGCTGTTGCTCCGCTCCTTGTTGCTGTTGGCTTTGTCCTGCGCCCTGCCTCCTGCTCCTCGCCTTTTCCCTGGATCAGCGCCCGCTGTTTACCGATTCACTGGCGTTGACAAAAACTCCAATAGAATTTGGCACAATTTACATGTCTCCGAATTGCTTAGGGCAGCCGGGCCGAATGTATTGAACACAACACAACACTGAAGTGCGTGTGTGTACCCGATTTTCCGTTTATTTTTCGAACATTCTTTCTTTTAACCGATTTTCCGTCCTTTTGGCGAGACCCAATTTAGTGGCGAAAAGCGAAAAATCAAAACGGCGCGCGTGTCGTACCGCTTGATATATCCAGTGATTTGAGGGGGGACCCACGCACTTGCAACACGCGACACACGAGCACCGGGAATCGGGGACTTGGGGTTATAAACTGGGGTTTGGGGTGCACCGAGGAGTAGAGCGACAGTGACAGGCAACGGGCGACAGCAACTAAGATAAATGTCAATAAAAATGATTTTGCTCTCCACTGCAGTTGGGTTTTTTTTGGCTTCACTCCCCAAATTCTCTTCTTCAGCTGTCTGTTTTTTCTCTCCGTTTTTCGGTCTGTCCCGAGTTACTGTGATTTAATTATAAAGCGCAGACGAAAGTCCTGAACACCGAAGCGCCGGGAAGAGGTTTTCTCGTCACGCGAAGAATCCGTACTGAAGATACAGATTCGGGCTGCGAATTGGCAAGTCGAAATTCGCCACAATTCATCTCGCAGCAGGGCTGCTGCGCAAAATCCGGGAATCTGCGCCTGCGCCGCTCTCTCCGCTGCTCTCTCTCTCCAGACTTTCACGGCTCTCTCCGCGCTCTCCCCTATAAATATGTCTGTGTGCCACGCTCGTTGGAATGCTATAAAAAAGGAAACGTTAGAATGAAATGAAAATGTAGCATAATTTATGACTGCATCGTCTTTTAAATAATTGCACGCACACACTCCCAGTAACCTACACTCTGGCCCGGGTTTTAAATATTTACATCCACTCACCCACCTGACGGCCCCCCCACAAACGCACCCACCACCCCCTAATGACCATGTAAATATTCCATTTTTTATTTTATACGACTCTTTAAACATTCTGTCAAATTGGTTAAAGGTCAATGATATTTGGGCTTTTAACAAAATGGAAACGATACGAGAAGATTTACGGCGAAATTAGGTAAACAAATTCACACACAGCATTGAAAAATAATTGCTGTGCTGCCTACCAAACTGAATAAATAATGGAATTATGTTTTCGCGACAATTTATGTTTAAAGTTCCGACTTACAAAACAAGTAAATACTGTATTTAAGGGCATGTTGAATTTTAATATGAATATCCTGTACAACTTATTCGGCGGAATTCAAATCATCAAAATCTCACAGCTTTTTAAATATCTTTTATTCAGGCTTATATTTGTATAATATGATGTTGTAACCCCGTATTTTTACTAACGCAAACAAGAACTACTAATATTTGGCAAATGTAATGATGGGTTTACCTCTATGTTCATTTTTGGCCACTTAATAATGCCACTTGAATTATGCATTTTTGTTCATTTTCGGCCAGTAAAAATTAGCTGCCACTTTTGATGATGAGGTTCAAATTGTAATCAGTTCTTGAGCCTCTAGAGAACGCGTCGTTGTTGTCATAAGCGTTTATAATTTGGTACTGGGTAAGTTTAAGAAGGACTGGCAAGTTGTCATGCATTACTAGAGAATTGAAGTTGGTAAGAGAGATTTGTGTCTCCCAATCAGAGTTCGACGTTGTTTAAGTTGGACCCGGAGGAAGTGGGCAGATCGACGTCGCTGGGCGGCACAAAGGTGCCCATGGTGAGGACACTCTCCTGCTTGGCGCACAGCTTCAACATCTCGGACTTGAGTTTGTCCAAAATGGCATAGTTGGGCTGGTTCACAGCCGCCTTGCTCTGCAGCACTGTGATCTCCTGCTCCTCCAGCTTCTTCTCCTTGAAGGTCTTTATCGAATTGTTGCCATACAGGCGCAGCAAGGAACCCCAAGTCTGGATGTGTGGATGCAGGATCTGTTACACAATCAGGACGAGAAATTTAAAACAGGAGTTATTAAAGAAACCATCATTATTCACCTGTAGGATCGCCTGCGAGGCCAACTGCTTGCCTTCCCGCTTGTTCTTGCAAACCACTTTGGCTGTATGTTTTCCCACGGTCATGGTAAACTCATTCTTGTTGTTCGCCGTGCGATTGATCTCCTGGTTGATCTGCACATCGCTGCCGTAGTTGCGCTGCAAACAAGTCAGCAGGATTGCGTTGGGCGAAGGCTCCGTTGTCTTATTGCAGAACTCGGTGACTCGCGGATCCTCAATGCGGATGTCATCAAAAACCTTAATGGAATTGTATTAAAATGCAGAGTTAAAAAGTAATCAGATCCTTGTGCTTAACTAAAACAACCTAAACTGAAGGGAAATAAGAGGTATAAATCCATCGAAAAAATAACAATGCCAGAAATATGTTACAAGTTTTCAGAAATCAAGATATATAGAGAAATGTCGCTTACAGACAGATCACTCTGCGTCTTTTTGGCCGTGCCGCTCTTCTGGTCCTTGTTGTTTCCTGTTATCTTGTCCTTAACATCAGGAATTAGTATTTCCAGCGTTTCCCGTGCCGCTTCCGACTTGGCCTGCTTTTTACTAGTGCCATAGCCCGTTCCATACTTGAGATTATTCACCGACACGGTGGCCGAATAGGGAGTGGCCGCATTTTGGAGTTCCTTGAACTCATAAGTGGGTTGCGTTTTCAGAGCATGCTGCACATACTCGTGCAGGATGCACACGAAGCTCTTGCCGTTGGGATTCATGATCCACTCTTTTCGACCACGCGTATTCGTTGATCCTTCGCCGGCCGTCGCCAAAATGGGGAATTTAATGAGTTTTGTGCCATCAGGCAGCGTGGGCCGTTGAATATTCTTGATGTGCTTGCGATTTTTGGTGAACTTACGACGGGCATTCCAACTCCTGAAGCGCAGCACACGAATAACCTTAAATTTAAAGAGCTTCTGGCAGTAGGAATTTAGTTGCTCCGGTGTTATGGATTCCTTTTGCGTATTCTCGTTAACAGTGACGATTTTGGCAGCTGGCATAAGGGCAGTTAGCCCCCCAGGCTGGGATTTGGGATCGGAGCTGCCAGCGCTGTTCTCCTTCCCCTCCACATCCATGGGCTCCTCAGGCGAAACTGTCGCTCCCGTAATGGGGCACACAGCTGCTGGAGCAGCTTCATCCGGTTTTTGCAGCTGCGCTTCCGACTCCTCGTCCAATGCCCGCCTGTAGTTAAGGCAGGGAACTGCTCCCAAAGGCACAGCATGCTTACGAGCACTTCCAGTGCCCAGAAAGTAAGGCCTCGAAGCACAACAGACGCGAGTTTTGCGGTGCAGAAAGAGCGGCATGCCACTGTTGTGGGTCACCTGTACCCAACCTTCGGGAAGAACTTCAAAATGGTTGAGTCGCTTTTCTGCGGAGAAGAATTAAAAAATAGTAACTCTGTGTTGTTAGCTACGAAAGGGTCGCTCACCCTCGAGCACAGTCTTAAATCGCTGCTCGTACTTGGGCTGCTTTGACTCGCGCAACTCGTCGGGGAGCTTCTCATCCAGCAGATTCTCGATCTCCTCGTCGTCGAATTCCGAGGAATCGTACTCCTCCCCGTCGCCGTTCGCCGCCTCCTCCTCTTCGTCACCTCCATTTCCATACCTTCCACCCTGCTGCTCGCCCGCGTCGTCTGGTTGCCATGTAAGGAGATACAATCACTGTTTAGATAAGCTGTCTGTTTGTCTGCGAAATACGAGACCCGACGTAGAGTTGATCGCCCCCGACACCAGAAAATGTTTCGGGTTTTTTAAAGTATCCTATTAAAGTATCCCTATTTGCTGTAAAGCCCTTTTTAAATTTGCAAAGCATCAATGGTCTCGGTAATTAAGTTACAAAAGTAATAATTTGAAATCAAACACAAGTTATTTATCGCTTGTACCTGGTTTAGCTGGGCAATCCAGTCGGATAATAGGTATCATGCGCATTGGGATAAGCCCAAAGATCTGCCACCACCTGCCTTTTAAGAATTTGAGAAAAAACTGAAGCTGGCATTTTGGCTTCGCCTGCCGGCTGCCTCTTTTATCAGCCTCCTGTGTGTGTTTGCACAATGATAGGCAACCGAGATCTCGAGATAAGGGCTAGCAGACACAGTCAAGAAAATGAATCATTGCAAAGCCAAAAAGATCGAGCTGGTATTATAAAACTAGTTACATGAAATCGTTTTTGACAGAAGAGATATTTTCGTTAAAACGACGATATATTATTACTTTTTATCGATTCACTGAGAATAAGGTATCTTTTGTGATTCTTATCTACTAAGTTGATTTCCACTCAGTCAGATGTCCCCACTCACCGGACTCATCATCCTCGTCGCTACCAGAGCCGACTTCGTCAAGAACCTGGAACTGACGGAGCTGCTGGTCCATGGGTTCGTTCTGAAGCTCGTTATCCCGGGTCTGTCGCATTTCCTCAATGGCGCTGAGCGAAAACCCAGCCACCTTCAGCTCCTGCTCCTCGTCCTCCAGCCGGGGTCTCTTGCGATCCTGTCCAGCTTCCGGACAATCGGACTTAAGCTTCTCCGCCATTGTGGGGAAGTTTCTAAATCAGGGGTGTTGGGTTCAAATTCGGACTGATCGGAACTATAGGGTCTAGTGCCCAATACCGCTGCCTCGGGGCCAATCTCGCCAATAACCAATACTGAGAGCATCCAACGCCTTGCAATTGATTTCTCATTGGAAGTGCCACATTGGTTAAGCCAGAAGCCCCGCCGGTAAACTCTTCGACTGCACTTTCGCGATTTTTTACTGTTGCTACTGGCTGCGACTTTCGCGATGGATTCTGCCTGGTCTGTTGGACAGAATCCCAAAGCAAAAGCTGCGCAACTATACTATAAAATTAAGTTCCTAAAAAACGTGTTAAAAACTCAAAAATCGAACTAGACATCACATGCAGCTTTACAAGAACGGGCGCCACAGATAAGCACTTTTTGCGCTGGTCATCTAAGTATATAAGGTAATTATCTCACTAGGAATTTGTTCCGCTTTAACTCAGTTTTCTGTGAGATTTTTGCAACTATTTTTTTAGATTTGGGACGCTACTAATTTATTTACTGTGAAATAGTGTGCCCAAGCTCAATTCGGGGAAAATGCTGATTAGGTTTGGTGTTTGAAGGTCTGGTCACTTATCGCCATTTATTTTAACTGACTTATCATTTTAAAACCCAAAATCTTTTCATTTATGAATCGCTTCAGTTTAAATAAACGAAAATGCATATTTAAACTTTATTTAAAAAAGATAAAGTCGAAAAAATATGTATTCGTGGTTTTAGGCACGGACATTTTGAAGTATATGTAATTGCATAAATTAAAATTCCTTAGGTTTAGGCATTAAGATTAATTTTTGCAACCGACTTTGACTATATCCGTAGAAGCTTTAAATTCAGATTGAGGTCAAAAATATGTACATACGGATACTAATACTATTTTATCCATAGAACTGGACTCCAAAGCATTTTCCAGCCTGACATCTTATTTTAAATAATCATGACATTGAGAATTCGGCCCGTTTAAGGTTTTTCCTCCAGCACAGTTGTCACGTCTAGTTCCAGAGCTTTATCCACAGCCTCCTGGGTGTCTGCAACTTGTGCGTGTCTTTTTGAGCGGAAGTGGGCTAGCACATGGGAGCGACGAACAAAGGACACCTTGCAGCACTCGCAGCTGAAAAGACTATGATTACAGCAATCTATCATTTTTAAAATTCTGTGATCTTACTGAAAGTGTCGCACTCCGGTGTGACTGAGCATGTGTGTCCTGAGTTTGCCGCTCATGGCGAAGCTTTTACCACACTCGTTGCACTTGAATGGCCTGCTGTTCGTATGACGACTGAAAAGACCAAAATGTATATTCTGCTATGAAATACCCCAGAAGAGACAAATTAAAACGTAAACGGCATACATGCGCTCGTGCTGGATTCGCCCATTAGTGTTATTAAAGGATGCATCGCAGTAGCGGCACGGATACGGAGCTGCGCCCGAGTGCAGCTCCTGGTGTCGTCGTAGCAAAGTGGCGGTGTAGAACCTCTGTTGACACTGGTCGCAGGCGAATTCCTTCACGCCAGTATGGCGCAGCAGGTGCAGTTTGAAGTTGCTAGGGCAGGTGAAGTGTCGGCCGCACTGCTCGCAGATGCAGTCCCTCTTACGGCGTTCCCGTTTTAGGGCCACCACCTGGTCCTCAGCGAGCCGGTCCCACTGTATGCGCGGCTTGTGACGATTGTCCTGGTTGATGTCCGCAAACTTTATGGAAGTGCGGGGCGTGGGCGTGGTCCTAATTCGACTTTCCCGGGGCATACTCTCCTCCTGGGGCTTCTTCTGCGGGGGCTGCTCCTTCTCTTGGCCAGTTTCGTGCGGCCGTTCCTCCTCCTCCAGCTGGTCAATAACCTCGATTTCGGTGACTTCCTCGACGAACTGAAGCTCATCCTGCTGAACAACACTGAATGACTCGTTCAAGTCCAGGACCTGCACGTTGCCAGGGCAATTTTGCAGCGTATTCTGGGTAAGAATAACACGCTCCCGAAAGGAAACAGCTTTCCGCAGGTCAACTTCGCAAGGTGCGCAAATAAAGGCGGGTAGCTGGTCCCCAGATCCCTCCAGCAACTAAAAAAAATCCAGGGTTTAGTTGAAACGTAATCAAACAAGTTGCTGCAAGATGCTTCAGCCTGTCTGAACGTTTCAGGGGGTCCGGGAACCCCACTTACAAACAAACCCGTTAAAACCTCGATCTGGTGAAGCGTTACGGAATCGGGCTCCAGGAAGAGGTTCTTGGGTGAGAAACAGAATATGAACTGACCGCAAGTGCGGCAATTGCGAGGCGCCATTTCTTAAATCTTGTTTAATCGCAACAATTTTCCGAAATGGGTTTGCATATTTCTGGTAGCTCGGCGTTGCCAGATTGGAGTAGAAAGCGTTAGGGAGATTCTTTAAACTAACTTTCATGTCAACAATAAATATAACTTTTAGAGTTTTAGAGTGATTTCTGCAATGAACTTGTCTATATTTTTATAATTATTATAATTTAAGGTTTCCCCTTCTTAACCTGAACGGCATATGCTACGGAAACAGTCCAGCTGGACGATGTAAACAAACTCCAACAACAACAAAAATTTCTGGACAGCAACATCTGTTCCAAATCAACGTTGTTTTCGGAATGCATCTAAACGAGAACACCAAAATTTTAGGCCGCAGGATTCTGTTAGTGCCCTACGAGGCCCGGCACGTTCCCAAGTACCACGAGTGGATGGGCAGCGAGACTCTGAGGCAGCTGACCGCCTCCGAGGAACTGACCTTGGACGAGGAGTACGAAATGCAGAGGAGTTGGCGGGAGGACGCCGACAAGCTCACCTTCATTGTTCTGAACGCGGAGCTCTATGAGCGGGAGCAGGACGAAATAGCCGCGATGGTCGGCGACACTAATCTCTTTCTGCACCGAGATCCAGATAGCAATCTCCTGGTGGGGGAGGCGGAGATTATGATTGCCGAGCCCGACGCGAGGGGCAAGGGATTTGGTCGGGAAGCCATGCTCCTCATGCTTAAATATGCCCAGTCCCAGCTAAACTTGGATAAGTTCGAAGTGAAGATCGACATGGACAACATCACTTCTCTCCATTTATTTGAGACTTTCCAGTTCGTGGAGACGCGTCGAGTAGAAGTGTTTCACGAGGTAACCCTGGAACGACCCATCACACCAGATTGGGTCAGCTGGCTCAACCAACAGGTGGATCTGCGAATCGAGAGTTTTTAGGGTATCTTTCGCTAGGTTGGCTGAACTGTAATTGGCACTAAAATAATAAATTTGTATACTATGGTCCAATAGCAATTACGAAATCTCTTTTAGGTTGAATCCCTTCATACACTGACAGGAATTATTACTGACCCACCTAAAATGTAAAACTTCCCGAATCCTAAGCTTTTGCTTTGTTTATTATAGTTACTTTACAACTACTTGTTTTGCTTGCCTTAATTGCTGCATTTTACATCAAGTTTTTTTATTTATGTATATATGGGTGCATTGATGTTTGTTTTGTTTCGCCTTGCGGCTTGGATGATTGTAATTTTGTGTATGCTTCTTGTCGTGATTGGCGTGGCAGGAAACGGGCAACGAAAACTTGCCGCTTGTCAACTATCTCTGGTGTTGCGTGTATGTATTTAAATATAGTACATAAAACTAGATGCTTAGTGCTTTACAGCAACATACTTAAGACTGCTAACTTGTTTCAATTTTTTATAAAAATCATTATTAAATAATCAAAGGCAAAAATAATCTTAATCCGAATAGCAAATGAAAAAACGAAAACCGCCAATAGCTGCCGGGTAGCTTCTGCTCTGAGTCCTTAACGTAGATGTGGGCCGACTATATAAATACGGATTAGGCGGAGGCACGAGGGCCATCGATGGGCATGGCGTGGAGCACTTCGTCCAGCAGCTGGAGGGCGCGATGCAAATGCACCTCAATCCAGCAAGGCGTCTCCTTGATCGACTGGCGCGGGTAGTCAGGTCCCCAGCCCTTGACGAAGCTCAGTCGCAGGATGCACAGCCGACGCAGGTCGTCTACGCCGATGCCAGCCGCCGCAGTCATGCCTACAAAACAGGGATTCGACGAGTTAGTTAGCTGGAGGTCAAAGTTCACTGCAGGGGGATCTCACTTCTGCCGCCGCCGCCGCCCATCTGCTGATTGGCCACTCCGGCCACGGCTGCCGCCTGTGCTGCGGCCGCTGCCTGCGCATTGGTGGCCAGCGAATGCATCTGCTGGTGGCACTGGCGCAGGTCAAAAACCTGCAGTAAGCACAAACAAACATTATAAATGTGATACTAACAGACGGGACTGTAACGCTCACCTTGATGCACGCCGCCGGGTAGATCTTGTGCACCGCATCGCCAGGAGTGCGTCCCGCCTCGCGATCTAGGTAATAGCTTTGTACGAACACAGAGTTATCGCTGAGGCAGCGCAGCCAGACGTCTCCTTCTCCCCGCAGATCCAACTGAACGCCTTTGCCGATGTGAAGCCTGCAAGAACCCCACAATTATGTTCTGCTAAATGAGTGTCACCCACGGAACTCACCTGGCCCGCTCCGATTGCTCGGTGCGATGAACATTACTAAGTGCGCCCAGACAGAATCGATTGCCCCCCGACGGGTCCACATAGCCATCGATAATAACGTTCGGTTTCGCCGAGGGCACCTTGAAGGTCTCGCCCACCTGCGTATCCAGCTCGAAGTAGGCGATGGAGCACCAGTACTCCGGCGGCGGTTGGCGCGACAGGAGGCGTGGCTGCTGCTGTTGTTGCTGCTGCTGCGGAGGCGTCTGTTGCGGCGAGCCCAGGTCACCCGGCAGTGATGAGTTCCCTAAAGAAGAGATTTAAATATTTAAAGTCTTTGTGTGCGCATATTTTGATTGCATTCTATACTAACAGAAACCTCCTGGCAAAGAGCGGGGATCGGGTGGCTGCATAGACTGCGTGTAGGTGAGAGTGTTGGGTCCTGTCCAGGTGCCAGCAGCGCCACCTCCTCCGCCGGCCTGAGCCCCAGCAGATCCGGCATTGGCCTGCACTCCGCTCGGTGGTTGTTGCTGCTGCTGCGCTGTGGGCGGTGCGTTGCCAAAGACACCTCCTCCGCCGACGGAAGCTGTGCCCGCGGATCCCGCCTGCGACACGTAGCCATTCTGCTGGGCGTGGACGGTCGGGGGGACCGAGGAGCCGCCGCCGCTGGCGCCCTGCATCTGACTGCCCGGCGGTGGCTGTCCATAGTACTGCCCCCCGGTGGCGGATCCACTGCTGGTGTTGACAGCTCCATTGGGCACGCCACCCGCCTGCTGCTGCTGTTGTTGCTGCTGCTGCTGTTGCTGCTGCATGGCCAGTGCGGAGGCGGGATCGTTGGGTGAATTGGCCTGGGCGTGGAGCACCCCATTGCCCTGTGGATTCTGAGCCTGCTGCGGCGGTGGCGGGGGCGCCATCACGGGACCGGGGTTCATGGGGCCAGGCATGCCCGGCATACCATGAGGTACAGCTAAAAGTTGAGTCAAAGTGGACATTAATGCATGATCGAGACATGTGTTGGCTCAGCTGGGAACCGTAAAAGAGATTTAAATGAAAAAATTGACTTATAAAGGCATTTCCAGCCACAGAATAAGAATTTCAAAAAGACTTAAATGAAAAGCCATACAAAGCGGATGAGCTGCTGCTTGGGGCGGGGGCTGCTGCTGCTGCTGTTGCTGCTGCTGAGAGGGCTGCGGGGGTTGCTGCTGCTGCGCCTGCTGCTGTTGCTGCTGCTGCTGCGGGGGCTGACCAAGCCGCGGGGGAGGTGGCACCATCCAGGAGCTACGTGGCCCAGCAACACCATCCTGTGGCTCGATTTTTGGTATTGTGCGCCCGGTGGAAAACATTGCACTCATGGAATTGGCGTCTACGCCAACTACGTTAGATCAACACAAAAAGAAACAGAATTGAACATAAAATTAAAAAGAAAAACTTGCGAATAAATGAAAAAAAAAAACAATAAAGCAAATATTATAAAAGGAATGGAATACTCGACAAATAAATTAAATAAGAGTAAAAACTACACATCTCCGTATTTGCCCATCCGCTTATAAGACAAATCCAGAACTGGACACCTACCATATTCTGTGGGTCCCTGTGGATATCCGTAGCCGCCTGGGCCCACCATTTGCGTGGGATGGTGCTGTATTGTGCCGATGTCGTTGCCATCTATGTCCATGCCGCCCACTAGTGGACCGGCTGAGTATTCGTCCTTCACCAGGCGACTGGGCCCTGACTGCAGGCTCAACCCGGACAGATCGATGCCCGGGGAGACGACGCGCTCGTAATGGTAGGGGTTTACGCACACCGAGTCGCACTTCAGATCGAAGGCGAAGGCGCAATACTTAACGTGCTTGAGCTCATTCTTGTGCAGGTCCGGCCAACGCCAAATCCGGGCGTATATCACATGCGGAAAGCCTTTCCGACCGGCGACCTAAACACGAAAAATAAAAAGGTCAAAACAAGGTTTGTGTACATTTGTTTGTTTGTCGCATTTGTATTTTGGTTTCTTTTCTTTGCCACATAATTTTTAAACATATTTCCGACCTTTAAATAATAATCCGAAATGCTATCAGAAATCAGGGAGTTCGGAGGAAATTTGTCTTTGATAAGAGGGCCACCTGAATCACCCAAGCACTGAAAAATAGGGAACACAGCTTACCTGAAGTCGACCGTCAAGGGTGCGCTGGATGGTCACGCACTTGCTGGGATGGGCTCCATTCGTGGTGATTGCCGTGATCAGTGAGTCCAGTTCGTCTCGCTTCTCCTTGAGCTTTTTGACCAGCGACTCAATTGCCCGCTTGGCGAATCCCTCGCTTTCGCCGCCCTGCCGATGGCACATCAGTGAGTGGACGATGCTCAGGCAGGCGTCCGCCGATGTGGGAGCATTTGAAGGCGGCGGCGGCGGCATTTGCACCATGTCCCGGACAATTACTGCGAGTAAGAGAAGTGATTAGTTGCGGTTTCTTGAGTAGACGCAGAGCTCTCTGTGTACCGTTCCCGACACTCAAATCATAAAATCATAAAAGGCATGAGGGCATTGACAATCTCCACTGCAAATAGTGCACAGAGGGCAAAGGCTCACCATATCGAGTACTTACTGTCCTGCGGGGCTACGGCGCCGTACATGTGGGCAGGCGGACCCGCCCCCGGGGGGCCGCCGCCCATGCCAAAGTCCTGGGCGAGGCCCAGGGTGCGAGCATGGGCATCCACGGCGGCGTTGTTACTGGATCCGGATGCGAACCCGCAAGGGCGATCGGATCGGCACTGGAGTCGGGATGGGAGCAGGCGAATCCGTACTCAAAGCCGGCCGATGAAAACAAGGAGAATCACTATCCAAAAGCGAGGGGAAAGAAAACCAAACAAAGGCGGCACGCGAATGTAAGCACAAAACAAACGACGGTTAGCTAGCTTTGTGTGCGTTGGCTTGGGGGTGTTGCACACACACACACACACCCAACACAGAGAGACTTGAACTCCCACAAAGTTGGCGTAATTCCCCTGCGAAAAACTCTCCTGTCTTCCGACTCTCCGCCTCCTTCTCACGCACACAGGCACAAGCACTGCACACACAGACACCGAGAAACAAGTTTCCTTCCCAAATCCTTGCTACAAACTTGCGCTCACTGTTTTTTCAATATATTTCATTATTTGCACTCCAAAAGCTGCTTAAAGAGCTCTAAAGCAAATTTTCCGCCCGACGAAATCCAGTTTTCCACCCAATTTGCCTTTTTTTCCTCCTTTATTTTGTTGCGGCTGTTGTGTGACCGTATTGCAATATACCAGCGTCCGGCGATGCCAGATTGCCATGTCCGGTAAAACGCGGCGAGGTTTCCTCCCTAAAGTGAAACCTGGTCAGTTCTCGAAAATTTAATTTGAGAATAAGTTTATATTTTTTGGAAAAAAGAAGGAAAGAAAAGCAGCTACTGATCAAAACGCAGAGGCATCCGGGTAAGTGCCCTGACATATTACACGCCGACCTACATTAATTTCACGCGATGTTTCTTGCGTAAAACGAACTTTTTAAATGGCTAAAAATCAATCGCCACGCGTTTATTCTATATGTGTGAGTGTATGTGACGAAATTGGGAAAAGTGTCTTATCTTGCAAATTGGAGAAAACTAGATGAAATGTCGTTTATGTCGTTTAATTAGGGCGATTTTCTTTTTGCAAAAAATCAAGTAGTACAATTCTTTTCATTGAGGATTCCCGATTCTGATGGTTACAGGTTGTTTCTAGAAATGCGTGTGCATGTGTGCTGTGTGTGAAGGAGCCCTGAAATATTCCCCCCTTCCCCTGCTTTTCATTGCTCATAAAAGTTCACTTGGCAACAGAAACGAATTTTCCTTCCGGCGGAAAAGTAAGATCCCCTTATTGAAGAAGTTTCAAACAACTTGCTGCGTAGTTTCTATGTTTGAAAATCTTATCAAAACTGCGTCTTGGAATTTTTAATCTCATCGGAATTTCGACTGTTCGCATAACATTTTGTTGGCATTAACATTGATGGTTAAATGGAAAGTTTTAATTTTCTTTATATCGACAACTTTTGAACGTAACATTGACATTAAATGCTTTTTGTAAACCAAAAACTTTTATAATAGCTTAATATTTAATGCAGTTACACATATATTTTCTTTGTTTTTGCCTTGAATTGGATGTAAAGATCTTAAAAAATGTCGACTCCTTTTAAAAATTGCCTTAAGCGTCTGCCAAAAACCTGTAAAAATTAATTTGGCCGCTAATTTAATTTTCTAAGTTTTCTTCGCGGGCATTTTTAAACAGGATAACATTTCGCCCCTCTTTCCGTTCGCTTAACAGAAATGTTGAATAACATATATCAACATCTGGTAACACTCCGTAAATGGTTGTCAATTGCTTCTACAGAAGCTCTGTCACTAAGAAAAACGAAACACTTAACAGTTTCTGTTAAAAGCATAAGCGATGTCATCAACCGCGGTGTTGTTGGTTAAAGAAAAAGTTTTTAAGGGAGGGAAAAACCGAACTTACAAAACGTTTGGTAACACTGCGCTCGACAAAACAACAAAGACTGCTCGAAAGTCGTCATTCGACAAAAAAAACATAGCCAAGAAGTACCGTTTCAGCGAGCGCGAGTGATTGTGTGTTTGCATAGCAATAGAAAATATACATTTTAAGGACAAAGTGCAAGAACCGAGTTAATGCTAAATCAGGATTAAGGAAATAACAGAAAAGCTACGATGCACATCTGATGGAGAAAAGTCCCAAGCACTTTTAGTTTGGTGTGTGTGGGAAAAATCGATCCGAAAACGGGAAAACCGAGGAGAAAATGGCAGCCTAAAAACACAGTTCCAATTGTGATACAAACGCAGTACAAATTAGTTAACAACTAGCTTAAATGGCAAACGACAAGGTTTTATAGCGAACTATTTGCCGCAAATCCAAAATTAAGCACTGAAAAGCTGCCAGCCAATAATTCACTTATTTTCGAGTGCAATAGAAGCCAAAATTCTTAACTAACAAAATTCGTCTTAACATTCCTGCGCAACATAAAAACAACAAAATGGCTGTAAAAACGTAAGCAAATACAAATTATTCTATTCGACAAGTCGAAATTTGCAAAAGGAAAATCGAGGCTTTACATCAGATGATTTTGTTTGTAAAAAGAAATTAATATATTGAGGCATACATACAAAATTCGTTCATTTACGTGTTTGTTCCTATTTCAGTTCGTTTCACAGCTGTTTGGCTGGTGTTTGTGTGTGAGAGCGAGAGAGTGGGCTTTGGGGTCCGCTATTCATAGGTCTTTGGTTAGCGAGCGAGTAGGAGGGAGGTACAATGTGTGAGAGGGTGGGAGGGGAAACTATGTTGCTGGTAGTAGTATGCGTATATGTGGGGCTGTGCTTTTTATGCAAGCTGTACAACATATGAGCAAGTATAAATGCAAGTCTTTGTTTAAGTACCCGTTTTGAAACCCCTTCTCTGCCCAGGTAACTTTTGCCTGCCTCTATTTGAATATCTGTTATGTTCTTAATTTGAGTCAATTGTTTCACTTTACAACCCCCCTTTTTTCATTTTGTTGGTCCCCCCACAATCAGTGTGTTTCACTTCCAAAGTTCCCGTACAAACACATACACGAGCTGCAAACAAAGGCATTGTGTGTGTGTTGTGTTCCCATTCGAATTTTTGCCTCATATACACACACACACTAGTGCAGTAACTCGATTTCTTTGCAAGTATGCGTGCGCGGGATTGAAATTGCGTCAGCCAAAAAATCAAATATGTATGAACGACGTATAAAACTACTTGTTTTTTTTATACACTGTTGTTAAATTTCAGAAGCAACTTGTTTCTGAAACACACAATTAACAACTGATATTGCAGTTCGTCTTGTCCACTGTTTCTTCTTTGTCCGATGGCGGATTTCACCTTCAGCGCTTGTAGTTTGTTTTCTGGGTCATATTTGTTGATTTCAATTTGTTGCGCAGTCGCAAACACACAGAATTGCTTAATTTGTTGATTTTCATATTTTCCATAGCCTCCAAAAAATACAAAATTAATACACACATCGCATAAAACGACCCCCACGCACGCATACTAATGAAATAGTTAGGTGAGGGTGTGTGGGTGTTGTTTCTGTACCGTTGCTTTATTTATTCCTCTGCACACTTGTTTACATGTAAAAAGTCTCTTTTCTATTCTTTGCCTACCTTCTTTGTTGAATGAGAGACAAGCAACGGTATGTGGGGAGGGCAAGAGGGCAAATTTTACCCTTAACCCTTGGGTACCCCATGTCCAACTTTGGGGTCATTTGTTCCTACCGATTTAATCCTTTTCATTAGTTAAGGTCACAGTTAAAATTTCTGAACACCATCGACAAAAATTAAAATATGGAAAATGCAATATTGAACTGATGAGAAAAAAATCATCGGTCATCTATAGAAACCTTTTTACTAGAAGTAGACTGCTTTCTACCTGCTTTCTTGGATTTCAGTCTGCCATGAAATTCATGTGTCTGCAAAAAAGGCGTCAGTCCAAAGTGAAATCCAATGCCGAAACTCACTTGAACGACAGCTGACCATCCCAAAAAAGCCAGACACCATGATTCCCACTCCCGGAGATTTGAAGCCGACCACAAAAAGCACTCAAGTGAACCGATTCCAGCCCCTTCCCAGTTAATCCCCATTTCAGCTCGTGCCAGGCGACTTTTTGAGTCCCACCCTTTTTCTAATTCAATTTTATGGAAGGTGACGAAATATTTTCAATATTCCTGACGGCAGCTGCTCTCTCTCTCTGCTTTTTGCGTTGCAGCTGCTTTTTCTCTGGTGGCATTTCTATGGGTTTTATGGGACTACTCTGACAATGGCGATAAGATCGAATCGCTTTATCGAACCTCGGTACATTCATACGTCATGGAATGTTACGAAATGTCCGCAACTTCCCTGATAACCCAGCGCTTTAAGTCACCATTGAGATTGCAATGCATCCATCAGGGAGCTATCTAGATGTCGGTTCGGAACCTTGAAGCAAGGCAAATAATGACGCTGTTACAAAACCTTCATAGATTGCTGAAAAATTCAAAACACTTTGGGGTACTTTGATTCACTAAGGAAATTCTTTGTTCTTTAAATGCAATTTAGATCGTAGGAGAGTGAATCACTAGACCATTTTATCTATGTTCTGAAAATCTGTCAATAGCATTGCGTTACGTCCCCGCCCTTTTGTTATTTTGGGACTTTGAACTACGACTGTGTTCCCTGCGATTAGCACACGCTTATCATTCCATTTGGGCACGCTTCCCAGACGGTCACCCGTCGTTCCAGTGACTCCGACTTTGGTCACGTTCACTCTACGTCAGGGAAATTCTTATACTGCGTTTCCGTTGATAATGGAAAGTCCGAGGGGGCTTCAGTGCACTTCGATTGGAATTCGGTAATTCCTCGAGTCACACGATCGGGAGATAATGGGCGGAATGCAAATGGCAAGCTCCCATTGACAGGCGAGACTAGCGATAGACTGATAGTGCTCAGAAAACCATATATTAAACTGGAAACTAGAATAGAGGCAATCGAAAACGGGCTTGGCAAAGGTCGATCGCCTGATAGTGCGTCGCTATTTTCAAATTTTATACTCCCAAGTACAATGCCCGGCGATCGCTTTTCTCTTTTCTGCTGTTGTTTGTGTTTAGGGTCGGTTTCCTGTCTTTACCGAAAAACATAGTATTCTTTGTTCGCTGGGGACATCGGAAGATAAATTTCCTCGCATCGTATCTTCTCCAGCACATGCCACTGCAGCTGCTGCAAGATCTTTTCTTTTGGGCATTTTCCTCGCCACTTGTGCTTGGAAATCGGTATTTAAATTCCAAATTTTGTGCCGTCAGCAGGGTGGATTTTAACGCCAATTGGGGTTGCTCTGAATAGCCACCCCTAAGCCAGACCTGGCTGGGCCATTTCCTTCTTCCGTTAATTATAGCCCATGGCAAAGTCAAAGTTCCTTGCACCTCTTTCAAGCCCGGGAAAAAGTTGAACGGTTCAAGTTTCTAAGGGGTTGACAACGGGTTTTAGAGGTGGCTCAGGTTGTTTTAAGAGAGAAAACTACACAAATTGGGAGAAAGGCTTATAAGTTTAGGGGAATATATTTCCTTTGACGCCTGAACTAAAGCAGCCCTTAAGATACATTTTGTAGTAGTGACAATCTTTAAATTTAGTTCAATTTTTTCCGAGATACAAACACTACGAATATAAAAAAGATTCTAAGGAAACTCGAGAGGTGACCAGAACTGGCTCTCCGTCTTACCACCATTGAAAGCCTGTCTCCAGTCACGTTTCCATTTCTTCCATAAAAAGCTGGTCTTCATTCGATCTCTCTGTGTCTCTCTTTCCCGCAATCTACGGCGATCTCACTCTCTCTTTGGCTGTCATTTGTTGACCTTCATCAGTCGATGACGATGATAAATGAACAATCCATTTGGCCGTTCGGAAAAAACAAGTAAACGGAAGAAAAAGCAAAGCGTACGAACCAAAAACAATTGCCCCACGATCATAATATGTTCGCTGTGGAAAATACCTTGCTTTCAGTAGGCTTTTAGTTTGTTTACGATCCGCACTTTCGATTTGGAAACGCATCTCCGTCTTAGTTTTTTGTACCTTTCGGCCGCACCTGTAACTCAACTTTCAATTGCAGACGCGGGATTAGGGTATAAACAAAGAGAAGCTACGAAAATATTTCACACCTGTCCCAGGTAATGGCCACGCCCTCCGCCGCCTTCCGCCTGTTACGAAAATAGGCAAAAAGTGAAATTTGTGCGCTTCTGTTGGTATTTTTAACAACAACATTAAAATATGGCTTCACACATACTTATACGAATATTTTTGGATGTGTGCGTACGTGCTTTTGCGTCAGCAGAGCGCGCGCCAAAAAGAAAAACAACTAAAGCAACCCGTCAACTGAAATAACTAAGAAATTATTCAGTTGAGAAGCGAGGCGGTGCATAATACTATTTTAGAGGCAGAAAACCTCTGCTATGATCAAAAGTGTGATAAAGTTTCTTTGTTTTGGGGTTCGACCAAAAGTGGTGCTTTTATTTTGACCACCGTTGCTCCAATTGTTACTTTCCTTTGCAGTGGAAAACCACAGAAATAATTACTTTTACGGCGAGCCAAAGCATAATCTTCAGAACGGCTGACTGACAATCAAGCTTAGCAGTTGACCTTTAGCCCCTTCGCTTACTTTTTTATGCATTAAAAGTTTTCTGTTTTTGTCTTAAAGATCTCCATATTTACTTTATGCTTACTCAGCAGCTTTGAAGTTGAACATTTTGGTTTGGTTTCCCCCCGTCCCTTGAAACTGGTTTCTGGTGGGAGGGCGACCTTGAGTTGGGGCCCAAAGCTAGTTTTATTCGGTTGTTGTTATTGACTGTTTATGTCTGGGTCTTTATAAATAGAACTGAGAAGAGTAACCACAGAAAACGGAAGTCTTTGCTGCCAATGCACAAATGTTTCTGGGGGTATTTTTCATTGAGGTTTCCCCTCCCCATGTGTCACATAACCCGCATCTGATTCACTGCCAAATTGGGGTATTGTCAGATGATTCAGGGCGCGATCGGAAACGTTTCTTTGACCCGATTATTTTTAAAGGCCAGAGTCATCAAAATCCAGCTTGCTTTGGATTCTTGAAGAGCGAATCACTTTTTGTGGCTTCAGTTTAAAAATCCGTGGCTCGGTTACACTGCTCATAGAAGAGGTATTTACAATTCGAAATACGGCCAAAAATCAAGTACATTCGTTCACATTACTTGTCTTTAGCTGCTGTTTGTTTTGTTAACAAGCAGCCTTGTTTGTCTGGTTAGCCATGAAGCAGGTTAAGCGTCTAAATTGCCCTCACTTGGGGTTATTTTGGTATGCAGATCGGGGACGATCGAAATAAAACGAACCTTTGGCGCCAGTCGCTCAGGGGCAGATAATTATTGTGATTTTTCTGAGCCCGACTAGCCATACATCTTGATTTCCTTCTCGCTGAGGGTAAAAATAACTAGGACGATCCCTCATTACTGCCAGATACTTGGGTTCTTCTGCTTTTCGACCACATCTGGAGGCAATCGTCGGGGCTTTGTTTGGGTTAGCTGGGTTTATGTCATCTATCATCCAATTGTTTACACTCTGTGAAGTTTTTGTTTTGGTTACGGAAAGAGGGAAAGCCTCAAATGGCAGGCAACCACTCTCTGGGGTTTTCCTTCCGTCGAACTAAACTGGCACACAACATGGCATCGCTTTACGAATGTTTGCCCAAGTGTTTATATGTAGATTTGCTTTTCCATTGTTGTGGGGCCCCATTTGCCCAAGTTTTAATCGCGGGCTTTTGGGAACAACTCTTGACTGGCGGAAGTGTGAAGTGATATAGAAGCACTTGGGATCTGAAGTTGCGCCGATCTAAAATATTGCTGTTTACCCTTTCAAGACTGTTTGCTGCTTTTCGTATAAGTTACGTATAAAGAGTGGAGGAAATACTATACGATTAGGAAAGTTTTGATTCACGTTTAAGTTAATATTCTTTCTAAGCTGTTTACTAGCTAAGATCCAAGAGCTGTGGAATACGAAGTGGCAAGGTCTTTACACATTTCGGTAAACTATAAGCACATTTTGTTGATAATTCTCGTCTGAAAAATCTGATCAAATCTGTTGGCTGTCCAAATGGACGCTGTCTCGATCTATTTACGTGGTTCGCCTTGAGGCGCCACACCGATTCCCAGGTCCCCCTCCTTCCTTTAAAGCAACCTTGTGGCGCGCGATTTGAATAAAAATGTGTCACTGACTGAGGTCGGTCGGTCGATTTAAAATGTGTTCCAATGCCATCAAGTTTATTGCTCAATTGGGCATTTGTCCCACTGTACAGGTGGTTTTTTTTTAGCTCACGCCAAAAAGTTCGTTAAACGCATTTAACACGACGACGTATTTCGAAAACACAAAAAAGGGGAAGAGTGCGTTGCACTGCACACAATTAATTAATTTGCATGCCATCCATCCATTGACTTTATTTTGAAACACTGTAATAATATTTTAATTTCTCTGTGCCCACACACAAACAACTTTTGCAGCTCGTAAGTTTTATTTGAATTTAGCCAGACCAAAAAATAAGCATATCGCTATCATAAAAGCTGAAAATCAGATTTAGCCAAGCGCGAGTGTTTATTATCGTGAAAAGCACTGAGCGAACACATAATAAACCAGCAATTTTAGCGCTTCGCACAGAAACTCATTGGGTTTGAGTTTCTGAACAAATTTTCCACTTCATTAGCGCGACAATTGTGAGATCAGCGTACGCCAGACAACCCAAAAGACTGATAGCCAGCACCCATCGAACTCGAAATCGGAATCCTTGGAGCTGCTGTCGTTGAATTGTCCTTTGGTACACTGCCCGCAATTCTGTCGTCGCCTAATTGCCATTGTAGAGGGTGTCGTTTGTTTGTTTCCCGTTTGCCAATCGTTGAAAGAATTGCATTAAGGTCACTGAGCTGCTGGTGTTTCTGAAGCCAGCCAGAGTTCTTGGGAAAGAGAAGTCTCTGAGCTCTGCGACCGGTGTGTGCAGCACAAGTAGCAAACAGATTAGTTTTATTTTCGGTGGGCTTCAATAGCGGGATCCAGTGGTCTTCTTTTGGACTCCCTGAAGCGCAAGAGTTGTTAAACCGGCACGGATCTTGAGCGAAAGATTGAGAGCTCCTTCGAAGAGCTCGTTGATATCGGCCCGGTTGGGAAGTCTGAGATCCGTGTTTAGCTGAAAATAAAAGCAAACAAATCCTGCCAAGGACTGCGAGAACGAAAGGACGAGTCCCTCTCCTTTCCACTTCTCCTCCTTGCGATCTTGCGATCTTGCAATCTAGATCTTGATCTGGGCCTAGTTTTCTTTTTGCAAATATTCCGACTTTTCCGGCTCTCTGCCAGCGAAAAGTGTTGTCTAATCTACAACTTGAAAACCCTTGAAAAACCACAACAGGTACTAGGCCAGCCCTCACAATGTCTGTCCCTGTACGCTTCTCCTCCGCTGCCGCCGAATACGCCGCCGAACAAGAGCAACAGCAACAACAGTTGCACCTGCAACAGCAGTTCGAGTACGAGCAATTCCAGCACTACCAGTACCAACGGGAGCAGGATATCGCCTACTATTGCCAGTTGCAGGCGGCGCGGCAGCAGGAGCAGTTGATGCAGCAGAGGACATCGATGTCGTCGTCGGTTATGCCAGGCCTAGCCTTGCCCCAGGACCACCACGAGCACCAGGACTACCAGGACCACCCGGCCACCGCCAGCGCAGGACCCCTCGACAACAACAACGGACTCACCATGGACGCCCACAGCATCAACGCGATTCTGGTCGACGACGAGCAGCCCTCGACTTCGGCTCAGGCTGCGGCCGCTGCTGCTGCATCCGCTGGTGGATCCGGCGCATTGGGCGGACCTGGCGGACCAGGACAAGGCGGTGCCTCTGGTGGGGGCAAGCTGGCCAACGGCATCAGCCGCAATGCAGAGATGCCAACTGATTGGATGAGGATTGCGGACGAGGGCCGGTATGGGACACCGGGTGCTGCTGGCTTGGAATATCAGAAGTACGAACAACAACAGCAACAACAACTGGAGGATCTGGAAGCAGAGGCGGCAGGAGGCGCCGTCGGCGGAGCCAACAACAACGGCGAGCCGTCGTCGTCCTCGAAGAAGCTGGAGGACCAGCTGCACGCCCTCACCTCGGATGAGCTGTACGAAACGCTCAAGGAGTACGACGCTCTGCAGGACAAGTTCCACACGGTGCTGCTGCTGCCGAAGGAGTCGAGGGTGAGTCTAGCAGAAGCCCCCTTTCCGCACAAAACCAACTAACCCAGTCACCTTGTTGTCCTTTCCCCCAGCGTGAGGTGACTGCCGGAGGACGGGACGGATCCGCCTACGTGCTGCGCTGCCTGAAGATGTGGTACGAGCTCCCCTCCGACGTGCTCTTCTCCGCCATGAGCCTGGTGGACCGCTTCCTGGACCGCATGGCCGTCAAGCCGAAGCACATGGCCTGCATGAGCGTAGCCTCGTTCCACCTGGCCATCAAGCAGCTGGACTTGAAGCCCATTCCCGCCGAGGATCTGGTTACAATATCTCAGGTGGGTGGCGAGAAGTCCTTTTGACCTGGCAGGAAGGAGTCTAACTTTACTTGTTTCCCTAGTGTGGTTGTACCGCTGGCGATCTGGAACGCATGGCCGGCGTGATCGCCAACAAGCTGGGCGTTCAGATGGGACACGCACCGATCACCTCCGTGAGCTACCTGCGCATCTACTACGCCCTCTTCCGCAACCTGGCGAAGGAGATCGGCGGCGACTTCTTCAAGTTCTACCAGCAGCTGATCAAGCTGGAGGAGCTGGAGAACCGCCTGGAGATCCTGATGTGCGACGTGAAGACCACCGTGATCACGCCCTCGACGCTGGCGCTGGTGCTCATCTGCCTGCACCTGGACTTCCACATCAAGGAGTCGTACACGCGCGGCAGTCCGGAGCTGAAGCACGTCTTCGAGTACATTCTCTTCCTGCAGCAGTACATGAGGGTGAGTTTCGAGTTGGAGTTTCGTTCAGTGGAGGGAAATCATATCTATCTTCCCCGCAGATCCCCGACCGCGTTTTCACCTGCGGCTTCAGCATCGTTTCGGGCATTCTGTCCCACTACAACGGGCAGAACAAGGCGCCCTACAAGCAGCGGCTTGTCTGGAAGCTGTCCAGTCGCACGCTGCGCGTCCTGCGCCCCATCAACCGCTTCTCTTCCGACCTGCCCACCATTGAGGAAGGCATCTCCAACGCCCTCGACGACGGCCTGCGTTCGAGGTGAGTTAACCAATATGATATGATTTGATGGGAAGTAGAGGGAGGAACCCCCAAAAAGCAGATTGGTTAGGAGGAGATGAGTATTCGGGTGGCATTTTCCCAGCCCAATTGTAATTGGTCCGCAAAGCATTCGGACCTGGATGCCAGTTCTTTATTTTTAGTGCTCTCCGACACTGCCAACACGCGCATATATAATCTCGAATGTAAGCAAATGTGTCGATGACGATCTGGACTTTTTGGCGTAAACAAGTTTCTAGAATATTAGCGATTCCATTATCAGCGCAGCAGCAACAACACAATTGTCATGAGACTGGCTGACTCGCCCACCGTCCGTCCGCCTCCTCTTCAAACCGGCCATTCTATATGCGTGTTCGCATAGCTATTTGTTTTTTGTTTTCGCCGCTGCCCTTGTTTTTGCCTTTTTTTCGGCAACAATCTTATCGTTTCCAAATACCCGCTAGACGCAACAACAAAATACACTGCGAGGGTCGGCAGAGGAGTCGTCGGTTATGCAAAGCATACGTATATATCTGCGGGCTACATATAGCCAAGAGCTATAACTTGGCCAGCTGATGGCCGTCCTTGAATTCTCACATTGAACTTAGATGTGCATGTTCAATGCCATTGAAATTCTATTTTTCGCCTGCGATATTCGCTTTGTTTTCCAGCTTTCTTTCTTTCTTTCTTTCCCTTATGGGTATCTTATCGCCGATGTTGTTCTCGAGGTGTTTCGGAAAGTTAGTCATAAACATTTGGGCGGGTTCAATGCACTGATTCCCGAACTTTGTGTTCCAGTTGCACCCCAGCGAAGGCTTGCCGAACTATCAGCTGATTTTCGGGGCCTGATTGCAAAAGGGGCCTTAAACCTGAACTCGTTGTGCTAATTGATTATGCCATAATCAAGGTTGTTAGCAAAGTGCAACTCACCTTGAAAAGAAGATTAGAGCTCGTGGCACTAATTTAAATAATATGCAGTTTATTTGTGGAACTAATCATCCTTATTGTTTTTATCCTTTATTATAAAATCCTTTTTAAATTTCAGAACCGAGAGTATTAGCTCTGAGGAGGAGGAGGACTGGCCCACTTCACCCATAATTCCAATTTTCGAACAATGTTAGAATCCAGAGGCCAGCCAGCAGCAGAAGAGCAGCAGGGACAACGGCTGGACACCTGGAGCAGCGGACAAAGAAACCATCAACCAGACGCCCACTCGGCACACATCCTGCTTTCCTGGGGCCACCGTCCTCCGGGAGATCAGGCACCATACAGACATATCCCCACCAGAAGCGAGAGGAGCGCCGGCAGGAGGTGGGTGGAGGTCCTCGGGAGGATGTGTGTCCGCGAGAGCGTTCCGCGAGCTAGTCCGTAGTAGTGCTGGTTGAGGTAGAGTGTGTATATTTTGCTAAAGTGCATCATAATTCTTTTGGCACATACTCGTACACAAGTGTGTATTTGGTAGCGCTGGTTCTAACATTTAAGAAACTATTGAGATACGGAAATGTGGGCGGCAAGGGGCCGAGCAGCCACGCCTTCCCTTTTTGAGAAAGTTGCCCAGAGTAGCGCCCCCCACAATTTTTTTCGATTTATTTGCGGCAGACAAAAAAATACGTGAAAAAAAAAAAACAAAAGCAAAAAAAAATATAAAAAAAATCAAAATGAATGCTGCGGACCATCATACAAAAGATTGATGCCGTTCCGGATCATTATTCGAGATCAGTGAGAGAGAGAATTGATTTGAGAATTGAGAGCCCACGCCGAAATCCCGAACATCTGGAATGGGAAAGCAGTTTTTTGTTGGTTGCGCTTGGAACCGTCAAAAAAAATTCAAAAAATCACAAAACAAAAACCACTAAACAAAAATTTTTCATCAGACCCTAAATTAGTTGTAATCACTATGTTCTCTTTGTTTGTCCCGCTCTTATCAGTTAATGTAAAAGCCCCGAATCAATGGACCCAAAAAAAAAACCACAAAAAATCATAAAATCTAAAAAAAAGTACAAAAGTTCTTTATGTATAGACCGACCTAAAAGTTAAGCTTAACAGCAAAATCAACAAAAACAAGGTCAGATCAGATTAATCAGTAATTTTAGCCGCGCTCAAAGGAAGTATAAAGAAAAACAAAAACCATAGAAGAACTAAAGTATATTTCGCCGCCTGTATTGACTAAGAACTAACAATAACAATTAAATTAAACAAAGATACGAAGAATCCACAATATGTAGTGTGTGTCTAGTAGATTTTTCTCTGTATATCAAATCGAAAACCAATCAGAAGCGAACTCAATTTCCGCCCTTAAGAAATCAAGCGAAAGCACGACAAATGCAATCTGTCATTATCATACGCAGCTAAGTAAATTTGTTATTATTACGCAATTGTTTATCACTCGAACAATCAATCAATCAATCATCTTGAAGGCATTGAGATTTAGTTCGAGTACCTCGGTGATCCCTTTTTATATAATACCTTTACATATTATTAATACACGAGCTAATTCTTCTTTTTTGTTACATAATATTATTTAACTTATTAAACAAATTGTAAACAAAATCCAATCTTATGTTGTACCATACATACGAATCTACCAATTAACCCTAGTTTAAAGCAAACCAGCGTTTAGACAAGGCCAAATTCAATTCAATACAGATTGAAGCGCGGCGAACTTGAGCAGAAATTATGATGCAACATTTAGCAAGATGTACCGTTAGGGTCAAGCGAAGAGGATTAGAGAGCATAGGCAGCAGAACTAACGCAGAGCATAAAAACAATTGAAATTTCGCATATTTAGAAACAGAAACGTTTCCCTTTTTACCACTTCGATGCGGAATGTGCAAACTCTTGTCTGTAAATTTGAATAAAATGCGTTTGCCCGCCCCAGGGCATTCAGATTTCATGAATATTTACAACAAACTCGCCTGTTTTATTTGAATTGTTGCAGTGCAGCGGTGACTTCGTCGAAATGTGAGTACACCACCATTTCCAAAATCCCCAGCATTCCGAATTCCTGAGCGCGCAACCAATGTAAATAAACCCCGGCGACTTTGCTGTAAATATTCAAGGACAATCAATCTTTAATAATTGTGCAATAGAATTGTAATTTAGAACCTTTCCACGGCCAGAAGATCAGATCTGTAATAACCGAAAACGAAAACATTGTTAACACAGGCTAACGCTGACGCGAAATGCGAAACAATTAACTATATTTAAGCGACAGAAGATCATGTGTTCAGTGGCGAAAAAAACACGTTTTTAGCTTAGTCCAACTTTTATTAAGAGCCAATTGACAAATAAGCGATTAAGAGAAAGGTGAAAGCGGTGAAAGAAGTCTAGAACTAAGTTTTTTACCATCGTCTGCCACGGGCTGAGATTTCATAATTTTAAAAACTAGCAAATTTTACATTGTATTTAGCGCGGAGTTAGTTAAATATTTGCAAGGATCAACATCAAAAAAAGGAAAATCTCAATTATTGTAAAGTATATTTAATTTTAGTCCTTATTTAATGACTCATTTCCAATCGTGAAGTTTGAGCTTATATTCGGTTGAGGTTTAGTTACGACGCGAGATACATTCATTCTGTACATTACGAACCACTCATTTTAATTTATTCGAAGTTTCACAACTTGTAATTAACAATTAGGTTATACTTTAGACGTCCACCAGAATCATTCTTAAGCAAATTGATCATTGTGTAAAGAAAATATGGAACAAGTTGTTTAAAAACAGCTGAAGCTCGTGATTTAAATCATTGTACACACATTACAACAAATAAATGGAAAAAAGTATTATTAAATGGTAAATGGAAAGTGGCGTTTTTACTTTGATTGGGCTTGCTTAAAAAAAAAAATTAAAGCACAATTCCAATGATAATAATAATAATAAAACTATACCTTGGAAACCTTTTGTTCGTTAAAAAACGCAAGGTTTTGGTATGTGTTTTTTAAAATCTTTGTGCACACAAAACAACAAACAAATGGAAAAAAGGTTAACAGGCATATAGGTTATCACAGAGAACCACAAAGTAACTCTTTCTATTTTGAAGTCTATTTTTTGGCTAGCGCTTAGTTTCTTTTTATTTCTATTGCAAATAAGTAACTTTGTTGGATTGCTCCCTTTTTCTCCTTATTTCTGTGCTACGGTCATTTTCAAATAAATTTTCAGTTTTTTCGCCAGTGCTGGAAAAGTTTCAGCTTCCTATGTATCCAACCCATGTTGGGCTGGGTGGAAGAAGAAGCCTGGAGATGACAGTCCAGAAATAAGTGCATTTTTTAGAACACGCGGTCGAAATGTTTGATTTGCTAAAGGAAATTTGTTGTTTTCTTGAGGGCATTGTTTTCTTACATTTGCTGAGCTGCATTTCAGTTAGAAATGAACCGGGGGCACCAACCCGGATCGGTGCAAAAACATCGGTGGCCATAAATCGATTTCGATGTTAAGATATCGATACTATCGTTCGTGAGAGCGATGTTTTTCCAGCCCTACTGCACGCACATAACCTTCCTTTTCTAAAAATTTGTGCGCTGTGTACACGTGTTTTCGCAATGGCACCCGTCGAGAAAGCTAAGAAAGTGGCCAAGTCGGCCAAAAAGGGCAAGAAGCACCCCCTCAACTCCTACCTGAAGGGCGGTATCCTGCGTTACTCCAAGGCCCAGGTAAATATCGCCAGGAACAGTGGGGAATCGCCCTTGGTTGTGAGACGCCTTCGCCGGGGGAAGTGGCACAGCGTGGCCTGCATACATATGTTGCTTCTAGTTCACGGGATCGCCTTTGATCGGATATCTTGGCGTTCCTCTGGCCCTGCATAACCCCAATACTGCCTTACGGTTTTGCTGAAAGTAACAATCACTTGTTCAAAAAGTTCTTGTCTTGACATTACTTTTGAAATCAATAAACTGGCTATGCTACTGTTTGCAAAGTGACAATTAGTGTTAAACATGTTTGTCTACGATGATTACTTACTATTTAAGTAATGAAACAACGCAACAAGTGTAAATGCAGGAAGGCAAAACAAACACCACATAAAATCCCAATTGGCTAAGGCTAAAACAAATTCCGATACATCCCGCTAACTAACCCTGTTCTCCGGATTTTAGATGTACAAGCGTCGTGCCCTGTACCGCCTGAAGGACAAGAAGAGCCCCGTGGTGCAGAAGGCTAAGGTGCCCATCAAGAAGGTGAAGAAGATCGGGGGCCCCAACAACGGAGGCGAGCGCACGGTCTACCTGAACAAGTCGAAGGCCAACTACCCCACCAAGACGTTCGTGAAGAAGCGCCCCTCCAAGGCCAACTTCAGCGAGCACAAGCGCAACACGCGCCGCAACCTGACGCCCGGAACCGTGCTGATCCTGCTGGCTGGTCGCCACCAGGGCAAGCGCGTCGTCTTGCTGAAGGTCCTGGCCTCCGGACTGCTGCTCGTCACCGGACCCTTCGCCCTCAACTCGTGCCCGCTGCGTCGCGTTTCCCAGCGCTACGTGATCGGCACCTCCTCAAAGGTGGACCTTGGTACCTTCAAAGTGCCCGAGCACCTGAACGACGCCTACTTCCGACGTCTGAAGGCCAAGAAGGACAAGAAGAGCGGCGAGGCCGACATCTTCGCGGCCAAGAAGGAGCGCTTCGTGCCCAACGAGCAGCGCAAGAAGGACCAGAAGGAGGTGGACGCCGCCCTGCTGAAGGTGATCAAGGCCCACCCCGAGGGCAAGTTCTTCTCCAAGTACTTGCAGAACATGTTCGCCCTGCACTCCTCCCAATACCCCCACCGCATGCGATTCTAAGCGAGCGGTTTGGGCTTCAGTTTAAGGATTTTGTACAAGCGTGTCCGCTGGATAGAGAAACGGGATTTGTAAAATAAACCTTACAAAACGGAAAACTGAAGGTTTCGTCTATTTTTTGACTAGGCAATGCAGACTTCTAAAATCTTGAATTACATTTCTATCATTTAAAAATGTATACCACTCTTTAAAGAGTAAAGTAATTTGCAGACTTAGGTACGGAATACATAAAACTCTCTGAGAAGATAAATTTCATTTAATTTATTGAGTCAAAAGTAAGGTTTTTTTATTTGAACTAAGAAGATAAATAGGCTAAATATTAGAATACCTATGATAAAGTCGATATTGCAGCAATAGGCTTCCAACTAGGCTATAATTTAAATTTATCCTAGACCAGATCCTAGAACTAAGTAGAGATACTTCTAGGACTCTCTTTTGGCAACTCGATGGGGTCGGGGTACTCCGGCTGCAAGTTCAGGGCGGCCAGGAGTTTCCTCCTCCCATGAACGTACCACAGCATCTCGCGGTAGGATCGCGGCAGCACCTCGTCGAGGACCTTGTCGGCCTTGTAGGTCAGATAGAAGACGTTGGTGGTCTGCACCTTGCCGCTCTTGGCGTCCCAAATCTGGGCCACGGTCATCAGCTGGACGTAGTTCTGCGCGGCATAAACCACGTACGCGGTGAGCTGCAGGAACGTGTTCACATGCACCGGGTTCATGAAGCTGATGTCCGAGATGCACTTGAGCGTGGGCCGGTCGCCCAGGTAGATGCTGGCCATTATGAAGCTGATCTCCACGGCCTGGCGCATCAGGTAGCCCCCGAAGATGGTGTTCTGGGCATTCCGGTTCTCCGGGAACGGAGCAATCATCGTCGACTGCAGCGAGTCCTCCATCCAGCGGCACTTGGGGGGCAGAACCCTCTTGTTGAGGTCCATGCTGTTGGTCGGAGTGGTTCTCCTCAGGATCTCGTACATAATGGTCTGCTCATGCTCCCTGGGAGGGGAGTTGAGCACGGAGTCCTGGGCGGACGACTTGCGTAGCTTCTGCCGCTTCTCAGCCTGCTCCCAAATATGCTTCTCCGTTTCGTCACCCGGCTCCAGGGGATTGATGGGAGCTGGGCCCGTGTTGGTGGCGTTCCTGGCCACCATCACAAAAATGGCCTTGGTCACATCGATGTACTGGCCGTGGGCCAGCTGTTTCACGTAGATGGTGATCTCCATGGAGCTGCGGCCCGCCCACGAGATGTGTCCGCTGATTTCGATGTCCTGGTTGACCTGCAGGCGCTCCAGGTTGGTGAACTCCACCTTATCCACCAGCAGGGTGACAAAGGTGTAGGGCAGAGGCACTCCCTTGGGCAGCTTGGGCAGCTTTACGTGGCGGTGGCAAACCCACACGGCGAACATGTCCAGCTCCTCCATTATCCTGCCCAGTCTCACCCTGCCCAGGTGGTTGACGTAGCTCTCGCGAATCAGCTCACTGGAACTCAGGGGCAAAACTGCAGTGGTGTGGGAGTCCGCCATGGTTCTGGGGGAAGCTCCTCCCGCTTGGGCTGGTGTTGCAGGAGGTGATCCCTCGCCTTCGGAATGGTGTGGTAGCCCACGTCCACGCCGGACTGCTCGCGTATGGTTCGAGCCACTGGGGATTGCGAACGGTAAGTTGGGTTCCAATGGCCGTCCTAATCCATATCTCACCTTCAACCATCGTTCCAGAGCGGTGGCTCGATTTGACCTTTGGCCCCTTGTCATTGGAGTAGTTCCTGGTCATCGGGGGGCACGCGAATGCCGAGCAGCGGGTGACCAGCAGACGCCTCCGCCGTGCAGTCGACGAGGGAAACCTCCTCGCCAATACAATTCCAAGTGCGCGTGCCGTCAGACCCAGCATCGTTCCAAAATCTCCCGCCTACTACCCACTACTAGTAAAGGGTTCACGGTTTCTGAGACAAACTGCTTCCGAAACAACAGATTGTCGATTCAGTGCCCTATTTGTAATACGTAATACAGCTCAGTCCGATTGGGTTTTCATCGAGTGCTGGCACTTGGACTGCAAAATAGAGAGTGATTCTGAAACCCAAAAAGAGCGTTTACATGGCTCTCAATCAGCGGAGAATCCGCGCATGGCGATCACCTGTCCACTTCGTGAGAGAATCTTCGCCTCCACTCTGAAAAAAGGGTGATCTGAACGAGATATTTGAAACACCTATGCTTTTCCTAGATCTATACAAATTCCTTTAGCCAAATCAGTTCGTATTGACTACTCAAATATTTGTATATTTTAATTGGACATTTTATAAATGGTAAAAAAAATGTAAATAAATTTAAAGTAACATTTTTAGTTCACAAGCATATAATTTTGTTCTGTGTAGCAAACTAACGGCAATCTAATCTAAAGAGGAGGTGTAAAGATGATTTTTCAAAAGCATGCCAGACAAGTGGGAAAGATATGGAGCCTTTCCGAATTTTCGACCTGATTGGATGAAATATTTTGCATAGCAAGTTATGTTTTCTATGTATGAGTCTGAGCTGCAGAATCTAATCTAAAGGGTAGGTGTAGGGTGAGCAATCATGTGTCTGCGTCGAGCATTGGCCGTGGTCATGATCTGCACGCATTTGACCGTTTCAAACTCGTTTTTGGCACTGATAAGAAATTAGGTAAACAACCACGAAACATTTTTCCTAAGTCTGAATCACCGTACTCTTACTTTGATTTGACTTCCTGACAAAATACAAATAACACTGAAATTTGTATACACTGAACAATGAGTTAAATACAATTAAACTGTTTTTTAGGATTTTCTAAAACATATGTATAATGAAGGCAGTATTTGAAGTTTTATATTTTTGATTTAAATTATTGGACTGTAAAAAATTTAAACCCACAGCCAAACATAAAAGGTCCCATTCCAGACCCGAAAGACAAATACGATTTTAGAAACTATTTAGTTAGTTAATATTTGTGTGTTATAAGTACAAAAATAATATCCAGGGTGTTCCAGAAATAATGAAGTCCAAAGGACTATCCTGGTTAAGAACATCAGACAATTTACAACTTTTAATAAGCACAGAACGGATAATATCATACGAAAGCCTCAGTTAATATCATTGGGAACATTAAGTAGCAGCTATATAGCAGCCTATTTCAAGCCCATGCTTGCCTCGAACTTCCGACGCCCCTGTATGTACCACATGGTTTCGTGATAGGACCGGGGGAGCACCTCGGTAACAGTGTCCGGAGCGGAGAAGGTGTAGTAGAACGTGTTCGTGGTCACCTGGCTGCCTGTGTGCGTGTCCAACACATCGGCAACGGTCATGATCTGCACATAGTTCAGCTTGGTGAACACCACATAGGCCGTCATCTTGATAAAGCTGTCCACGCTCACTGGCTTCTCGAAACTGATGTCCGAGATGTGCTCAAGTTTAGGTCGCGTTTTACAGTAGAGGAACGCGGCTGCCCAGCTAATCTCCAGGGCGCTTCGCATGAGAAATCCTCCGAAGACCCGATTGTGGTGATTCCTGTGCTCCGGAAACGAGGGAATAGTACTCATCTGGAAGGAGTCCTCCATCCAGCGGCAGTTCGGCGGCAGGATGCGTTTGTTCAATTCCAGAGTATTGCTGGGCGTGGTCCTCTTGTACAGCTCGTACATAAGGGTTTGCTCGGGGTCGTTGGGCTCCACCTTAAAAACGGACTGGGCACAGAGAACCTGGCGTTTCTTCTTTCTATCAGCTCCGCCTGCCAGGATCACCTCCTCCTCTTCGTTGGCCGGCAGTATTGGATTCACTGGAGCGGCGCCCGTGTTGGTGGCGTTTCTGGCCGCCATTAGGAATAGAGCCCGGGTGAGCTTTTGGTATCTGCCAGCCACCATCTGCTCCAGCCACACCACCACCTCGATGGAACTGGTTCCCACCCAGGAGACGTGTCCGGACAGCCGGATATCCTGGGTGCCTGAGGCCAGCACGTTGGTGAAATCGATGCGGTCCACCAGAATGGTCACAAAGGTATAGGGAAGGTGCACTCCCTCCGGCAGGTTTGGCAGTTTTAAATGCTTATGGCAGCACCAGGCTGAAGGTATTTAGATTTATTAGATTGGGTAGAGCAGTTTCTATTGGTAATGGAAACTCCGCTTACCGGCAAACATGTCCATGTCCTCCAGCAGACGGCCGAAACGCACACTGCCCAGGTAGGTCACGTACTTGTCCTGCAAGGTGCGGTCCGTGCTCAGCGGAATGATGGCCGAGGTGAAGGAATCCTGCATGGCCCGGGGGGGCAGATTCTCCAGTTTGGGCTGGTACTTGAGCAGTTGCTCCCTGGATTTGGGCAGCGGATTGTATCCGGGCTCCAGGCCCAGACGTTTCATCATCTCCTGCTTGACTGTACATAAGGGTCAGGGATGTGTTAGATTCTGTTAAAGCGGAAGTACTTACTCTCCGCCATAGTTCCGGATTCGTTTGCCACTGCCGACTGTTTAATATGAGTGGGCGGTGAATAGTGACGCCTGTTGGAGGTGAAAAACACATTTTTCATATAAAACTCTTGGTTTTCTGTATGCACATACATATATATGTACATATGTATGTATTTACATATATGATACAAACCTGGACACCGCAAAGGAAGCCATCGGCTGTTTGGTGGCTACCTCCATGAGATTCCTGTTGCGAATTATTCCCCAGCACTTTTGTGCACTCAGCAAAGATCGCAGCATCCTGATTTCAGTTAGATTTAAACTTGTCTATTTACGTTTGCGTTTTGTGAAACTTGTTTGCAAATCGACCTCGGGGAAATCAGCTGGTTCCCGCAGCAGCTGATTGGCACAGTGGGCCGCATAAAATGTTCAGTGAAAGGGTTTGATTTGGATTTAATAAATAGAATAGATAGTAACTAGGTCATATCAGGTCATTTCATGAAGTCGTCATGTTTCTGTATTTTGATTACAGTACATCAATAATAAAACCAGAATCTACACACAATTTTGTTCCTTCAAGCCACTGTGCACGAGAAGTGATAAATATGTATGACGTCATTGCGTTTGTTGCTAGTTTTCTTACGGAATTTTAAGCCTCCCTGATTGTCTTCAAATTAACACACTTTTATTTTATGATTCACAAATTATGAAAGAATGTTATTAGTCTCTTAAGTGTTACTGGATGTTTAAGGCTTCGTTGCTTATCCTAATTAATGTTCATTTTCTAATTTTAATCCAATTTTGAAGTGTCATCCTCTAAAGTTTCTATTTTGATTCTCCAACCAACTGCATCATTAGAAAAGTTTTTATTATTATGTAACCCCTTTCCAAATTTTCAATACATATTTTATTGCATACTTGAACTCATTTATTGGTTTGTTTGAAAACAACTGGCAGCTATTTTCAGCCATATACATTTTTTAAAGGGTAACTAGAAAATAAAAACAATTGTTTAGAGATTCAGTTCCTTTAGCGCAAAGTTAAGCACCGCCGGCAGCAAACCGGCGTCTTCCAGATCCAGAATCTGCTGCCGGAGGTTATCCACGGGACGGGAGTGTATCATCTAGAAGGAGATTCGCATAAGATCATGATATCTTTGCATGTGCAAGCATACAATAAAACATACCTTTATAATCGTTTGCCGCTGCTCGGAGCTCTGACAAAAACTCAGGAGAGCGGCAGCCATGTGGGGTCTGTGGACGATAATGCAGTGCTCGGCGAACTGGGGCAGGTTGAGGGCATGAACCACTGGACATCCCTGCAGTCGCAGCAACGTCTTGTGTAGCAGATCCTCCTGCTCGAAGGAGCGCGTCTCCACGGCGTTCTTGAGCGGGTTGCAGAGCACGTAGTCCCAGGCCTGGGCTAACCCGTCCAGATGGAGCAAATGCGGGCGGCAGCTCAGCACATCCAGCAAAGCGTTAAGCTCGCGCTCCATGTGAAACATGACCATCCGCTTTAGGATGCCGTTCCATATCTGCGGCAGATGTATATCGAAACCCAGACATATATTGGCCATCACCTCCAAGGACAGAGGATTCTGCGCGTTGCGCTGCCAGATCATTTTCAGGATGTCAATCTTGTTGCAATGGTCGTCGGAGAACTTCTCGAGGTTCGACTTGTAGCCCAGAGCCTTCAGTTCGTGCACGCACTTGATGCTGATGAACTGCCGCTGACTGATCGTGTCGGTAAAGGAGTTACTGCCGTCGTTCAGCTTGGAATAGCATTCGTACATCTGCAGCTGGGTGGATGTGTTTACCGAGCTGTAAGGGGAGAAATTTGCATTTGAATCTGCCCGTCCACGTTCAAAGTCAAATGCTTACCCGCCCTTAAAGATCAGGCCCACCAAGAACTTGACTGCCTCGGCCTTTGGCCAGCTGGAGAGTATGTAGAAGGCTCTGTTCACATTATCGCTGGCGTCCTGGCTGCTGCTGCCATCTGCCCCGTTGGTCTGCTCCGGCCAGCTCTGCTCCTCCATGAACGTCTCCTCCAGTATGGTGCCGTCCGCCGGCTCCATGGTCAGCGAAAGCCACTTCTGCAGCAGACGGAACTGGATGGTGGCCAAGCATAGGTCGTGGAGCTTGGCGATCTCGGCGACCAGTGCGTTGATGTCAACCTTGCTGGACTTAAGAATCAGTTCGTGGTGGTAGAGGGCGTGGATCAGCTCGGTGGGGTTCTCGACCTGCCGCAGGAGCTTCTCATCGGTCAGACCGTACACGTAAAGAAGGTGCTGCGTCTTCTGAATCGGATAGCGCCGTTTGACCTTGGCCATCTGCTCGCGACTCTTGGGGTCGGTCAGCAGATCGCCCTTTTCCTTGACGAACTTCCAACACTCGAAGGAGGCCTCCACCTGGTCGGCTCCATCCCGAGCGTAGTTAGAGACAAAGTACAGGATAAGAAATGCCTTATTGGGATTGTGCACCTTTTCCACCAGGCGCAGGATTGACTGGAGAAACGCGTTGTTCGTGGGATGCAGACTCCAGGTCTCTGATTCATTCCTTGACTTGTACTCCGAAATCGAATTTTTCACGGCCGACATGCAGAAGTAGTCGCAGTTCTGCGAACTATCCTTGGCTCCCTTCAATGCCGTGTACATCTGGATCAACGGGAACCAGCTCTGGCAGTTGTCCACGCTCAGTTCGCTGTCTAAATCAATATAAAGGAGATTGCTGGTATATTTTTACAACTTTGTGATTAAAATTCAATTACCAAGAATGTCTTTGAGAGGTTGCTCAACGATAGGCTTAAAAGGCAGACGATAACGCGAGATCTTCGGCATGACGCCGTTCTCCCTCTGCGACTTCAGCCACATGTCGGTCTCCACTTGACCCGGTCGATTGCGCCTCCTGGTGATCATTTTGTGCCGTAGGAAATGCAATATGTTCTTCCAGATTTCCATTTCCTTGGGCGCAGAATCGAAGTACATCAGAACGTCGATTACACACATGTACAACTCGTAGAAATAAATATTGATCTAAACATAAATAGAAAGGTCGAATAAAAAAATCAATTCCCAAAAACTGAAAAACGCACTTCTTCGATAAACTGCTTCAACTTGGAGATGAAGAGCTCCACGTTCTTGATCTCGTTTATATAGGGCTGGCACATATCGCGCATTTCCTGAGCACTGCTTAGCATTACCAGCTCTTCGTCGCCAAAACTGTCTTTCTTAATCTCAAAGCGCAACTCCTGGGCACTAAGGATGCTCAGAATCTGGGTGACGAGTATCTTCTGGTAGTCAAAGCCAAAGTCCTTGCTCATGCGTTCAAGCAGCTGCACGTCCAGCTGCTTGTTGTGAAACTCCTTAAGCAGATCCTCAACGTTGTCCATGTCCGCATTGAATTTGCCCTTGATCCTGGGGTCCTGTTGGCAGAACTCCAGGTAATAGTAAAGTTTCAAACGCCTACAAAGACAGCACAAATCAACCGAAGGGCTTACAGAGGTGGATAACCTACTCACTTTTCGCGTATCATTTGCACGTTATCCAAGTCGTCCATGTGTTCGTGGTACATGGCCGACAACGTCAGGAAGTTGATCTTCTGCAGATCAGTTTTCACCTCGGTGGACAATTTTTCCAGCAGAGCTAGTGCCTCGCTGTCTACCACCAGCATCGCGAAAAGTTCAATGAAGTTGACCTCCTTAATTCCCATCGCATTGCGAAATATGCGGCGCAGCTGCAGTGTAATGAACCCTTCGTTGATAATCCGCTTCTTGCGGCAGTTCTGCTTTTGGAACTCCAGCAGATACTGTGACATCACGTACCACACGTCGTGTTCCTTGGCCTTTGTAAGGTGTTCTAGCGACAGAAAGAAGTCCGCGCGAGCGCCGTCGAGGTCCACCTTGATGTTCTCCGACAGTCCATGGCGCACCTGCATTAGCAGCGAGTTACTCGGTTCCGTCTCAATTACCATGAGCAACAGGGTGCGAGACAGAAACTTAACTATTGCCAGGTGGCCACCGATGCTCTTCTGCAAAAATAACATTTTGACCATTTTAAGATCCGTACTCAGTATATTCAGATCAGGCTATAAACTGATTACCTTCTTCTGCGGCTGCTGGATAGGCTGCACTTCTACCTCATCGAACATGGACACCGAGTAGCGCTTTTTTGTGGTCGTCGGCACCTGTAAAGTCTTTACGTCGAAGGATCCATTAAGGGCACTGCTGAAGTTCATAGTGGCATCCCCCAAGGCCACCGTGATTCCATCCAGGGCGCGGCAAATGTTCTCGTTAATGGCCTGCTCCTTGCCAGCGTAGTGAGTCTTTATGGCATCCAGTGGATAGTGGATCACAGCCACGCGAATATACTTTAAGAGGTCAACGAGATCGCGAACACGACTGCTCTCGTGGAGCAGTGCGGATGTCAGGAGCTCGTAAGCTATGGGAAAGCTTAGGGGATCGCCTTGATCGTTCAACTGAAGCGAAAATGCACTTTCTGGATAATTAAAGAACGTGTACAGAATCAAATATAAAATGTATCCATTATAATTAATTAGGCAGATAGCCATCATTTGATGGAGGACTCACCGTGATTGCCGCCCTTGGCATTCTCGATTTGTTGGACCAACAGCTCGAGCGCAAGGTTAATAAATTCGCCAGCATTTGCGGGCACGCAGTCGACAAAGTTAATCACGTAGAACGCCAAAGCGCAACTGAGTGGCAGGCACCCAATGCGTTGACAAATACGGTGCAGACCGAACACCTTAGACAGACTAAGCGCTGAACAGAGCTCTCCCATTTGGCTGGTTATAAAAGCGGGCACATTAAGTGTGGCTTGGGCCCGCTCGATGATTCGCTCGATGGCCTCGTCCAGCAGGACATGACGGCTTTGCAGCGGTATGAGTTCGCTGTTGCAGCTCAGATGGATGCCAAACTTCCGTAGGCTGAAGCGGTGCTTTATCACTAGGTAGCGTTGCCGATAAACGGACTCTAGGTGCGGCAAGAACAATTTCAAAAGCTCAAGGACGTTCAATTGTTCCTGGTCCTTTGGGTCGTCCTCAATTGAAGAGGCGGAACTGTTTTCGAGAAGGTTGGCAATGATCTCCGCCACATCCTGTCCGTTCTTCGAGTCCTTCTCCCCGTTTAGCATCTTAAAGAAATCGTACGCCTGCTCGATTTGGCCTCGGCGGGCCATTTGGTAGCAGCAGTTAAAGTTGGTGCTTGCCGAGATTTCCGGCGCCGCCTTAGTGAGCGCGCAAATGTCCTCCAACATGTCCGGTAGATTCAACTTTACAATACGCATCATAAAGAGCTCCAAGTTAATGTCCGAACTATCGGCCGGCCACCCGTACTTAACCTTCATTATCTTGATCACCTGGATCTCATACTCGGCATTGATTTTCATGGCCAGCGGGTGGGTGGAATTACGCAGTCTGATCAGGGGAGCCAGCATATCCGGCCAGGGAACGGGTGCATTCTGCAGCACCGACAAAGCGCACTCCAATCGGCTGTGCTCATTGTGAAGCAGGTCGATGCAGGCCATCGCCCGCTCTAACCAAGTACTAGAAGACTGGCGACTAGCCACCAACTGGGCAATGTACTGTTTGATAACCTCTAGCGGTTGACGACCCTTCTCCTGGAAGATCGGGTACATAAAATTCTTTACCAGCCGCTGCAGTTTGTCCAGCTGCACATGCTGCAGTATGCTTAGGGCCGTTGCGTCAATGGAGTCCTGCATGTAGTTGTCCAGTGTGAAGCTCATATTGTAGATGGTCTTTAGCACGGACAGATCCTGCAATGCGTTGACCAGATCCCGCAGCTTACCCACATTGCGTTCCTGCTGCCGCCGCACATCACTGAAAAACGTTAAGAAAATAAAAACGTCAGTCTGAGATCTTTAAAGTAACAAAAAAAAAAAAAAAAAAAAAATAATTTTTCTTACGAATATGTAAACTGCATCTCTTCGAAAATATCCAGGATTTTGGTGCAAAACTCAAGGCCGATGTCCGGCCAGTGTGGACTGTACTGCAGATTCCTCGTCATTTCGATGCTCCAGTCGGTGATGAAGGGCATGATGCTGGGATGCGTGTTACTGACCAACGGGATAAACTGACGCAGCCACTGAACTACATTAAAAGGTTTCGTGTTGCTTGGAATAAAGCCAAGAAGCGTACGCAACTCATCCTCGTTAAGCAGTGGCAGGATACTGCTCGAATGACGCCGCCAAATGAGACAGGCGGTGGGCATGTCCGTGTTGAATAACGACTTGACCATCCTGACCAGGTTGTTGTCGTAAATAAACTTCTGCCAGTCCGTGTTGCATTCGTAGGGATCCATGATGTTCAAAGTTTTTAGTCGGTGTAGTTGCTCGTCGATCTCCAACATATCCTCCTCGTCATCCTTTGGAAACACAAATTAAAAGAGCCTGCATACAACGTTCCAATTAAACTCACCTCGAAGTTAAGACGCTTTTTGACTTCGATGAGATAGCGCTCAAGAATGTGTCTCGAGTTTAAGTTGATCATTCGATGGCTCTTGATAAAGACTTTACTTTCGACCATCGAAAGCAAATGAAGCAGGTTTTGAAATTTTTTATCCACTTCGGCAGCTTCCTTGTGGGAATTCGAGTTGCACAGCTCCACTAAAATCCGCTTGGCTTTTGCCTCATAGATGGGCTGCAGACACAGTTCAAACTGGTTGCCGAATTCCTGTTGAAAACAAGACAGTAATGATTGAAACAAGGTGGCAAAGTTTTAAAAATTACTTCCGCCTCTTCCAAGCGACCCTTTGCAATTAACTTTTTGAAGCGATCGCTGGGATCGGTCTCGGAGACGAGCTTCATTTCCACGACGGTGGGAAAACTGCTCTGGTTGAGTTCCTTGGCTGCCAGATAATACAGATTGACCGCACACTTTGGCTGTCGCACAAGCCAAGTATTATTTGGCACCTCCACCTCATTTTTAACTTTAAGTGCTAAAACGGTAAAAGAAATTTATTAATTTCTAGATGCCTCCCTCCATTAGATGCGCTCGTACACGGATACTCCACAATTTTTATAAAGCGCTCATCTTCCGTTGGTTTAGTCAATACTAGGAGCTCAATGTTCTCTTCGCTGCACTCCATAACCAGCAAATCCTCGATAAGCAGGTCTTTGCCTTGGGTCCTTGGGCATAGATGTACGGTGCGTGTGAACGGACAGACATCCAACAAATGACCAGAATTGGTGAGAGCGATTCTGTGATGGTACGTATTATTCTATTGAAGTCTTAAAGTCATAACGCCCACTCACATATAGTGCTCTATGTTAACGATCTGCTTGAGACTGCCAAAGTAAGCAGGCAGATTGATGCTTGTCGAATCGGTGGCGTTGTTCTTGAAGTTCAATGTGCTCTGATCTCCAGTGATAACCAGCCCGGGACTCTCGCCGAGATCCGCCTGGTTGTTCTGGGCACTGACACTGGCAGCCACCAATTGCTTGAGCAGCACACCACAATCCACGTTGGTTGAGGATCGTCCCTTGCAGAGACGCCGGATTGTCACATCATCAAGAATGGCCTTTTCGCACGCAGTAGTTTCGTTTTCATTAAGGGTCACATTACACAGCGTCTCCAGATAGCTTTCATCAATGTCGCTTAAACTAGCCAACCGAGTGTAAAAAAACTTTAGATCAAACAAGAGCAGCATGTCTCACCTATAGACGCTGCCATTTCTGCAAGTGAAAAAGAAGCGCTGATCCAGTTGGTGAATACTGCGAAAGGTGCCGCCGGCGATGCTCACGTCTTCGACGTTGACCGCCACACTGAAGAGCAGGAGTCCCTTAATAAATACGCCGTGAACTTCGCCGTCGCTAAGGCCGCAGACAATCAGGTTCCCGCTGGAGGATATGGCAATGGCCTCAATTGTGGCCCCAAATCCCAGAAAGCTGCATTTTGCCACCAGCTCGTCCTCTAAGAGTAGGAGGCTCTTATCTATGCCAATGACCATCTTGCCACATTGCACAGAGGCCTGGACTTCCGGATAGCTTTTTACCTTAGAAGCAAATAAGAGGGGATTTGCAACCTAACTGTAGATTCGCAAAATATGGACTGACCTCTTCCTCGCTACTAATCTGAAAAATTCCACGCGAGGAGAACACATTGGAGATGGTCTCGTCCTCCAGGGAGGAGGCCTCGAAGTTGCTCCACATAGCAGATATAATGAATTTCCAAAAACTAGCGGAGTCAAAAATATTTAAACAATTTTTTCAAACGCCGCCAATGAACCAGCGTCCTGAGGATGGTACCCGGCCGATAGCCCTATCGCCTATCGATATGCTGCTCTTTGCCAGAAAAACAAAAATTAATGGGCCTGAAAATTAAAATTATTTATAAATCATATTATACGTCTAATTCGAACCAAAAAACCATTTAACTTTAAAAAATTATATGTAGTCGCAGGCCACATCGTGGCCCTGCTCTGGTCCCACCGCCTTAGCCGCTGGAATTCCGGCATTTCGTCTGTTGTTAGAAAACGGTCCCACTGGCGGACTTGCGATGAAAATTATTTATATTTCGCTTCTGGCTCGCAAAAATTGGTCAAAATAAACAAAGGTTAATGTGCTGCTGCTGAATAACGGTAGTGTGGTGAGTCCGCCGGACCGACGAACGTGCGTAACGGTGAGCCGTAAGAGTACATATCCGCAAACGGCGCTAATTAAAATTGGATGCTGCAGCGGCCATCAACAAAAAGCCAACGGAAAACGCAGCGATTAAAACCCATAAAATCGGTCATACTCTCGCTCAGCGCACATCCGCCAGTTGTTTTTATCCTCCAATCAAGTAAGCCCCGTAAATAAACAACAGTTAAACTCTACACTGCGATTAAATCGGGAAGCGCAGCGGAGGACCTAAAGTCGCTGGCAAGAAGAAGAGCGCTGGCCAAAAGCGCCTTTGAAAGGGATAAAAGTGGTTTAATCAAAGTGAAATTGTTTTGCGGATTGCCAAACAAACGTAATCCCGGTTAAAGTGTTCGGAATTCGGCAAAAACCCAGAGGCGGCAGGTGCTTGGCGCTTTTGAAACGAGACAACACGACGCTGAGTTTCTGGGGTAGAGTTGCCAACCCGAAAAAGAAGCGGGGTTGCCGTTCGTTGCGCCGAAAGTGTTTACCTGGTTTTCAAGGGCCAGTTGCTCTAGGAAACCGGAATTTCTGAAATATCCTGGCCAGAATATGTCTTGGTATGTAGGTGGTCTGTCTTACGGGATATTGGATTCTCATTTAGACCCTCTTGCCCATAGGAAATCCAGCTTCAGGCGGTCACAGGCCGGATAACCGGCAAGAAGCCCAAGCCCACCGATTAAAGCCCACTTGATTCATTCAACAAAGGCTCTAGAGGAGAAGCGACTGCCTGCGAAAATCTCCCCACTCTAACTAGCTCCTCCTCCAGCGTCGAGATCTCGTGCGCGGGATTGACGACGCCGCTAACAACCGAATTTCTTGCCTACACCGTTAAAGAAAAGCTGCCACCATTCGGAAGAAGAATACCTCGAATATGACCCACAATCTCGGTATGGCGCCATATCGATTGCCGGGTCCAGCGGGAGGACTATGTCCGCCCGACTTCAAGCCGCCACCTCCGACGGACATCATCTCGGCGCCGAGCAATCCGAAAAAGCGGAGGAAAACGTCAAGTGCCGCCAATTCAGCTGCAGCCGCGGCTGCTGCGGCAGCTGCTGCAGCAGCAGCTGCAAACTCCATGCAACAGCAACAGGCTCCGCCCACGCCGCAGGACTTACTGCCTCCGCCGCCGATGGGCGGCTTCGGAGACACCATTATTGCCTCGAACCCGTTCGACGACAGCCCTCAGATATCGGCAATGTCGAGCTCGGCGGCCGCGGCAATGGCGGCCATGAACCAAATGGGCGGTGGTCCAGGAGGCGGTCACTTTGGTGGTGGCGGACCCGGAGGCCATCCGCACTGGGAGGACCGCATGGGTATGGGTGGCGGACCACCTCCACCGCCACATATGCACCCACACATGCACCCCCACCATCCGGGTGGTCCCATGGGGCATCCACACGGCCCCCATCCGCACATGGGCGGTCCGCCGCCGATGCGCGGCATGAGCCCCATGCATCCCCACAATATGGGACCAGGACCTGGGGTCGGGTTGCCGCCGCACTTGAATCACGGACGGCCAGGAGGACCTGGCGGACCCGGTGGACCCGTGCCCATGGGCAGCCCAATGGGCGGAATGGCTGGCATGGGCGGCATGAGCCCCATGGGAGGAATGGGCGGTCCCAGCATATCACCCCATCACATGGGCATGGGTGGACTGTCACCAATGGGCGGCGGTCCCAACGGACCCAATCCACGGGCCATGCAGGGCTCTCCAATGGGCGGTCCCGGACAGAACTCGCCGATGAACTCACTGCCCATGGGATCGCCCATGGGTAATCCGATTGGCAGCCCCCTGGGTCCGCCCTCGGGACCTGGTCCTGGGAATCCGGGAAATCCCAGCGGCCCACAACAGCAACAGCAACCTCCGCAGCCTCCCATGAACAACGGGCAGATGGGCCCCCCTCCACTGCACAGTCCGCTAGGGAACGGACCTACGGCGCACGGCAGTCACATGCCCGGAGGACCTATACCAGGACCAGGGCCTGGGCCCGGAGGACTCGTGGGTCCCGGTGGCATTTCCCCCGCGCACAGCAACAATCCCGGCGGTCCCGGAAATAACAACATGCTCGGCGGAAATCCCGGCGCCGGAAACAATAACAATGGAAGCAATACAAACAACACCAGCAACAACAATCAAAATCCTCACCTCTCGCCGGCAGCAGGACGACTGGGAGTCCCGACGTCGATGCAGTCAAATGGACCTTCGGTTTCTGTGGCATCCTCCTCGGTACCCTCTCCTGCCACGCCCACGCTCACGCCTACGTCGACGGCCACGTCGATGTCCACGTCAGTGCCTACATCCTCGCCAGCGCCGCCCGCCATGTCACCGCACCACTCGCTGAACAGCGCCGGCCCGAGTCCGGGCATGCCCAACTCCGGACCCAGTCCGCTGCAGTCGCCCGCCGGTCCCAACGGTCCGAATAACAACAATAGCAATAACAACAACGGACCCATGATGGGGCAGATGAACCCGAACGCAGTTCCTATGCAGCACCAGCAGCACATGGGCGGCGGCCCACCTGGCCACGGACCCGGGCCCGGACCAATGCCCGGAATGGGCATTAACCAGATGCTACCGCCGCAGCAGCCCTCGCACCTCGGACCCCCGCACCCGCAGCTGATGAACCACCCGCATCCACACTCCCATCCGCACCACCATCCCGGCGGGCCGCCGCCGCACATGATGGGCGGTCCGGGGATGCACGGCGGTCCCGGAGGAATGCCGCCCCACATGGGTGGTGGTCCGAATCCGCATATGATGGGTGGTCCGCATGGGAACGCGGGGCCGCACATGGGTCACGGGCACATGGGCGGCGTTCCGGGTCCAGGACCAGGGCCCGGCGGCATGAACGGACCCCCGCATCCGCATATGGCGCCGCACCACGGCCACCCGCACCACCATCACAATCCGATGGGCGGACCTGGACCGAACATGTTTGGCGGTGGAGGAGGGGGACCCATGGGCCCCGGTGGACCGATGGGCAACATGGGACCCATGGGTGGAGGGCCGATGAGCGGCCCAATGGGCGTAGGGCCCAAACCGATGACAATGGGCGGTGGCAAGATGTATCCGCCGGGACAGCCGATGGTCTTCAATCCGCAGAATCCGAACGCGCCGCCCATCTATCCATGTGGTATGTGCCACAAGGAGGTAAACGACAACGACGAGGCCGTGTTCTGTGAATCCGGCTGCAACTTCTTCTTTCACAGGTAAGCTGTTCATCATCACTTATTTGTACTCTAAAAACCAAAGACTTTCCCATTCTTTCAGGACGTGTGTCGGCCTGACAGAGGCGGCCTTCCAAATGCTCAACAAGGAGGTGTATGCCGAGTGGTGCTGCGACAAATGCGTGTCTTCCAAGCATATTCCCATGGTCAAGTTCAAGTGTTGAAGCGGGCGAAACTGGGAGTCGGTATCAGAATCATCATCCCCATCAACGTCAGCGGAATCTATCGATCAACCACCAGCAAAAGCAACAGCAACAGCACCAGCTAGCACTCACTCACTGTATAAAATATCCAAGCATTAACTCTATCTTAATTGTAAGACTTAAGCTGCTCAATAGTCACGCCCCGACCGATCCTGTTACCCAACAGTCCCGAAATAGAAACCCGTTACCAGTAAGCGACCCACTGAAGTGCCGGAGCAGTGTTGTGACTTTCAGCTCCGGGCTCCTGGCCCACTCGCGACATCCTCCTGAAACAAATACGCAAATAAGCAAACCTTAACGAAAAGTGTAAACGAAATATGTTTATTGTAATATAGTTGTAATATGTATGTATGTCTGCATGTGGAGTAATCAAACCGGACGAAAACCGCAAAACGAAAACGGAAACGGAAACAAAGCTGAGAAACAATCTAGTTTGTATTATAAAACGAAATTGGTTAAAATTAATGAGCGAGAAGAGGAGTAGGGATAGGGCTCATCCCAATTTGAATACTACTCGATCAGCCGGAATTCGACAAGAACACAACAGACAACCACACTTAACTAATTGAACACATATATCTGATGACATATTCAACACATTTGAGGATGAGTACAGAAATTGTAACGAAATGAAATTATAATTGTGAAATTGATGCAAACTGCGTGAGTGTGTTATTTGTTATTAAGAACCTATATTATTTTTTATAATTGCGTGCGTTTACCTTTTAAACAATTAGTGCTGAGAAGTGGCTCGATCGAGTAAGAGACGACCATCGTCGAAAACATTTTACAACAAAGCATTCATAAAAGCCGGTATCGGAGGATGTGAAAAATAAGGAATCGATTGCGAGCAAAAGCAAAAGAAATTATAAATTCATGCGAGAGATATAAATTTGTAATGTAAGACGAATGTTGAAAACGCAGCGAAAATTAACGATTCAAAAGAAAAAATTTGTAAAAATATGAGAAACAAAAAGTACTCTAGGCTACAGCAACTTTAAGTTATTTATAATTAAATAAAATAAAATTAAATATAAAATAAAGTAAGAGTGAGTTATTTAGCGCTTTCTTTTTGGGTGGTAAATGTGTTTTTGCGGTCCTAATTCATTTTGTTTCTTATTGAGGGACTTCTACTGGTTAAATAAGTTTATGCCTTGTTAATAAAACACTTTTAAATCCGTTTGCATTGCATATAATCGAATTTTTAATTTTTTTGTATCCATACTTAGGCTAAATGCACAGGCTAATGGGGCATAATATAACATACATAGATACATGTCGAAGGATGCATCGCTGGAGCTACATGAACTTTTTGGAAATGGGCAGTAACAATACTCAATGTTGCACATGCCGAGTTGTGGAAAAGGATTCTAAAAATATTACAGAGACGGTCACTTAAGGGTACAAATTATATTTTTGATTAAGTGTAGCATTTTCTGGTTCGTAGAGGAGTTTAGATTATGTTGACAGCACGCAGGAACCAAACGAGATTCCTGCATGGCTCGCTGTCTTATCCAATAGCCGCTGTTATGAGCTCCGCCACGTCCTGATCTGTGCTGCGCACGGTCAGATTCAGCGTAACGCCCTCTGAAAGTGCCAATTTAGCTCGGACCAGAATCTCGGCGCCGCCTCTGAAGGTGCCTGAATAAACAAAAGACTTCCTTTATATATATTAAAAAAAAAAAGCAAAGGCTTCTTACCTGAACAGAGCAACGTATGCAGGTGGGTGCCCTCGGGTACCTTCTCCGAAAGATTTGCTGCGCCCAATCCCAGTATCTTCACTATAGTGTTGACCGCATCTTGCAAAGTATTAACTGCTGACAGCACAAACGTGTCTTCGGCTTGCAGCCACTCTAAAAATTACAAAAATAAGTATTCCAACAACTTGTGGGTTCATTATCTCTTTTTCGCACCTTCGCTATCGGCAGCATCCCATGCCACTTGGAAGTTGCTCTTCTTGGTTTTTTGTATCTGATCTGCAACAGTAAGTTCAAGATCCTCCAGCATATACTCATCATCGTAGCCTTCATCCGAGTCAGGCTCTCCGGTGTTGGGATCACAGTCCTTCACGACAAATCGCAAGGTTGCGCCAAAGGTTGCTAGTTTAAAGAAGATATAAGTTTAAACCATAAATCAATCGAACATGGTGCCTTATTGAAACCACTCACCTATGGAACTTGCTGCATCTGGCGGGAATTCCACTATGACGAATGTTGTCTGCAGCTCGTTGTAGGGAAGCTTGGGGCACGGAATGACCGCTCTGGTAGTGAACCCTTCCGGTAGCGTAAGCTCCACCCTAACATTTTCCAGGAACTGATCAGACAGGGTGTTTAAACAATCAAACTGGAAGACCACGTGCTGGCCGAAGATGTGTTTAATGCACTGCACCGTGTACTCTGTTTCGCTTTCGGTAAGCTGTATCGGAGCGGTACTGCGGTGAATGGGTCCGAGCACTTGGATGCCAGGCAACTGGGCCAGGCGGGCGGCGCTTTCCTCCTCGCGCGTTATCTTCGGCGGCCGTGGTGCGCTGCTGGTGACCAGCATGACATCATTGGCAACGACCGGTTTCACGATAGCCGCCTTGGGCACAATGGAAATGTCGAAGCGAGTCTCCAGGTCGCCATTCAGATGGTCGACCAGTGATTTCTCTAGCAGAGCCAGAGAACAGTTTTCCCGTTCGATGATGTAGTTCTTGTAGAGCTCCGGCCTCTCCGAGTTGAGGATGCTCAGGTAGTATGTGGCCCTGTCCCGCACCTCGTCGTCCGGATCCATCTGGCAGCGACCCAGCAAGACGAGTATATTGCTGAGCAGAGCCGGGCAAGAGGCTCCAAACTGAGCCATTGCAGTAACCGCGGCTGCACGCACAATCGGGCTTTCCAGAATTACGCGGTTGTAGATGAACCTAATGTACTTTGAAGGCGTGGCAGCAAAGGGACCCTCTTTGCCCAACAGGTGGAGAATCCTTACCGCCAGCGAAACGTGCTCGCAGTCCTCGATGAACTCGCATAGATGCGACAAGCCGGACTCCTTGGCATCTACGTTCTCTTCGATAATCGTAATGATGGTATCCACAATGGAGGTCTTGTACTCTAGGCCGCCCTCCTCGCGCAGCATTCCGCTAAGAAAATTCATAAGAACAGTATGCTTGCGCGGATACTTGGTGCACAGGGCGCAAATGGCTTGTACGACCACCACCTTAAACTCATCGGAAATCTCTGCCACAAACGTGGAGATCTGCTTCATTAGGCGCTCCACCGACGACTCGGCGCCGGTTTTCAGCAGCGTCGTAATGGCCAGCGTGGCCACTGATCGGTTGGAGTCTGTGATGAGACCCTCCAGATCCAGGTTGCAGGTGGTCACCGCTGCCGGGTGTGTCATGGCCACCTTGTTAAGCGTGCGCACCGCAGCGAAGCGAAGCGTAGCCTTCGGCGAGCTGCAAAACAGCTGGAGGATGGAGAATGCCGGCGAAAGCATTCGCGGATTGGTGTTTTTCAGATTGACAATGGCGTGCGCGGCCTCGTAGATGACCATCTCGCTCTTGTGGCGCAGACAGGACTCGATGAAGGTAAACAGGGGCGAATCGGATAGCTCCTCGGAAGGAATGTCCTCCTCTTCGATCAATTTGCAGGCAATGCGAATCTGAGAGGGTTTAAAGAAAAATTCGTTAGCTTGGTATATTAATCTTTACAATTTTAACATTTTGTTTTTATGACAGCGATTGGTTTTTTCAGCAACTATACATTACATACCAGCATGCACACTGCGTAGGGACTCTTCAGCGATCCTCTGGTAAGCTTGTTGACCAACTTGGATACTGCCAAACGATCCGACTTGCGTATGTGGTAGAGCAGGCCCAGAGCGTGGTACTGCACCATGATATTGTCGCTGTTCAGGGCCTCCTGAGCCTCGTTTGCCCACCTCTTGACTACATCTCCGGCGGTGCTGGCAAGTCTAAGGGAGCTCACCAGAGCGGCGCAAGACACTGCAGCGTTCTTGTCAACGATACACTGCTTCATATAGCGCTCCACAGCCTGCAACATGGTGCTGTCCGTAATGCTACACAAAGCACGGATAGCGGCTGCCCGGTAAAGATCCTCCTTGCCAGTCATGTCCTTCGTCAGCGAGCTAGTTACGATGATCACGTCTTCGGCAATGGAGCTCAGCTCCTTGATGCCCAAATAGACCATACGGCGAAGTACGACATCCTTCGACTGGAAGAGCTTTGTCATCGCAAAGAAGCAGTCGGTGGCCTCGCGGGCCACGAGCTGCTCCCCCTGGTTGATCAGGTACAATATCTTAGTAAGAATGTGGATGCACTTCCTAGCGTTCACCGGCGTCTCATTGAAGGTGCGCGTCTCCTGAAGGACGGAAGTCTTTTCCAGATTCTGGTACGCATTGCTCGGTCCTGCTGGCGTATAAAAGCGTTTTTTTTTGTGCGAGGCAAAGGAGAAATAGTTCATTTTCTTAGACATTTTGTAGGGAAAACTCGATTTTCTTTATTGTTAAGGTTAGTGGGTGTGTGTGTCTGTGCCAGCGGAGCACCTCTCAGTAACCAGCTTTTCTTTGAACAGTGTCGCTGGCCGCCGGATCGTAAGGTTCTAGGTGTTAAATCGCTACTCACCGTCATCCTCCTCGTCTTTGTCGCGGCGGAACGAACCCATTATCGTCGAATATTTGTTAAAATCCTCGGAAAAAACAATTAAATTAGTTTTCTGGTTGCTTACACGTCACTCAGCGGTGCCCAGTTGGTTCATCTGCTAGGGATGACAGCAAGTCGATACCCCTATCGATAGCAAGTTAAATTTCTTCTTACTCTTGTACAAAAATGCGCCTTATTTTTAATTATCTGACAGTAACTTATTCAAAGCGTTTGCAATATGAATTAAATTGTTTTATTAGATTACACTCAAGACGAAGAAGGAAGTGGTTCAGGTTCCGATCTACAGAAACTATCGATAGCTCGATTGTCTACCAAAAGACAGCTGAACTTTTTTTAAAATTTAGTTTAACGGCTTTTCTTACTGCAATTCAAAAACGTTTTTTTTTGCCACTTTTAAATTCACCCCCGACACTAATGTTTTTAACTTCTTAAACCTACTTGATACCCTTGAAGCGAACAACGAAGAAAATCTGGTCTTTTAAAGCGCTGCGGTTGATCGGTCGGATGTTCAGTTGATGTTACGTAAGTTCGAAAAGTTCTAAAGAAATTACAAATTATTAGATTTAACTGGTTTGTCCAAACTTTATTTTAAAATTCATAAATTAAGGTTAGAACGCTTAAAATGCGTAAGAACGTTTATGTCAATCTTATATACTAATGAGTTCATCTTAGTGGAATTTAATGAACAACAATAGCTCAATATTGTACAACATTGGAACGATAAGTAATTTTTGGCCATTATTATAACTCAAAGAAGCTAAAATGGTTTCAGTTTCATAAGAAAGCATATATATGAAACGCTTAACCAAATTGAAGCACCTCACTCCCGCCATTTTCAAGCTGCGAAACGATCTAACGGTAAAAAGGCCAGAGAGGCCAGAATAGAAGCTTGATATCGAGAGGGATGGCAGTTTGGAAACAAGGACGTTACAAAGAGCAAAAGTAATAGAAAATGCCCTCTCCAATCGAATGCATTTCTGCTTACTAAAATTAGTGTTGTTTATTAATTTCCGGCCGATTATGTTTATTTATTTACGTGCTTGCCGAACTTATACATTCATAGGTGCCACCAATCCAGAAATCCATTATATTGAATTGTCAGTTGGCGGCCCGCGCCGCAAGTGCCGTTAATTGCATTTTACATACAGCGGGGAAATTCCGGCGCGCTGAACAACAACTTCATTGCGTGTCCATAAGGCGAGGACCTCCGCCGCAAACGCCAAAAACCAAAAGGAAAAAATCTGCGATCGAGGCACCTACAGCATGAATTTATGGCCAAGAGATAAGCGCCGGCCAAAGAAAGTCCGCTGACTTAAACCCAAAATTGGACAAGGAACGTGCGTCGGACGAGCAGGAACATTTTTAGTAGCTGTCAAAGGCATCAGCTGTGGCCCCTGGAAAACAGAAACACCTACAGAAACCCCGGAGCCAACTTAAAACCAAAGTTGAAGTCGAAGTTAAGGCCGAAGTCTGAGCAAAAGCTAAGGCGACGGTGCACGCAAGGAATATGCTACAGGTGAGTTTGAATTGAAGGTGGCTCTACTACAGTAGAGCCTTAGCATGTTGATCGATTTTGCCTATATTCACGTTAATTTACATATTACAGTAGAATAAAATGAATGTAATCTATGTTAAGCTGGCAATACACACAATGTCTCTGTTTTAAAAAAGCTTAAATATAAAATGGGGCATAAATATGATCGAAACTCGTGCTTCTAAATTATAAACTTAGTTTACTTGTCACTGGAATTTCACTCTAAAATATTGTATGTGTAGATCTTGTTGTGTCTTCAGAGCTTTAGCAGCTATCTTCACTGTAATCCCCAGTTAGCTTTGCGTGCAGATGGCGAGGAATGCGGGCGGGGACCGCAGGATTGGTGTTTCTTTCGTTTGGGTGTAGAGATCCCGATCCGCTGGTGGCCTGTGACTCTATAAGGCTGATGCTGTCAGTTGCTCTTAGCCCGGCTCATTGGCTGTTTTATTGGAAAACTAGTGGCCGGCGTGTGTGGGCCAACCTGCATTCCAATCATAAGTATGAATATGAATCTTGAAGGCACTTGCATTCGTTAGCCTCTGTTGGTGCGAAGATGCAAAACGGTGGCACTCTGATTCGGGTTCCTGGTCGAAATGGGAATAGGAGACCCTCTCGTCCCTGCCAACAACTTCACCAGTGTGCTAACAAGATGGCAACACATGAAATTAGACTGCGCCGATGCACGTCAAGCGATAGAAGAAGAATGAACTGATCGTGCCTACAAAAACGGGCAACGGCAGGAACAACAGACTAATTAACATATTCAAATATTTGTCGCATTGTCTTGCCAGTTTTCCCAGCTCCATCTCGGAGTTGCTTATTCTCCTGTCGGTTTTATTGAAAAACCATTTTACGGTTTCATGCTTAAAAGTCATTGCCAAGTGACCACGCCCCACCGCGAGTCCAAAACCTGGAACCGGTGCTTCTTCCTTGGCTGTTTGTGCACTGCAGACCCCTTGGCGCTATTTTTATCGCATTTTAAAAGGCTATTTGTAGTGGTTCCACCAGGAAGTGGCATAAACTCGCAGCGCATAATGGCTGTGAATAAATTATTTTGCCACAGCTTCCTCTCGTCCATTGATTGGCTGATAAGCGTAAGACCCATCCTACAACTGCAGAGTCGTCCATTGAAATGGTCAAACAAAAAAACGGAGGAGGCAGCCCAAAACAGATGCTGCAAACAATGCACTGGTTACGTAATCACTTACCCCGATTCTTGTCCTGCAACGTGAGAGAGGCCAGCCGGCGGCCTTCCTTGTGCACTCGAGCAATTTTCACGCACGCCCCCAACTGGCGAGCCTTCTTCACCAAAGAACCTGGCCAAAGCCAAGCCCAGCAAAAAATAAAGGAGGACGTGGAGTACGCAATTGCATGCGGAAAGCAAAAGTCCCACAGTCCGTTAGGCGGAAGCGAAGCGCAAATTCAACTGATAGATTTGACCTTAATTTAATTTATATGGCTAATGCAGAGGTTTTGGTATTTAGGGGGTTGGCAGGTTTAGGAAACAAAATACTGCACTTTCAGAGCCCATAATATTACTAAATTTAATCAGATTTCAAGTTAATTTTTATTAAATCATAAATAGTCTTTAACATTTAACATGATTCGCCAGTGGCTTAGAAGCGAAATTGAGACATAACATTTACCGACTCCAACGAGAAAAATCTGGGCGTTAGGTGAAAAGGTGGATAATAAATTCCTGAGAAAATCTGGACGATAAACAAAACATTATAGGCATTAGAATGCGGACGTTAAGACTAAAGTTTTTAACATTCATTAATCATCTTTTCGTAAGTCAGTTGCATTTAGCTGCAGGTGAAAGTTCAGAGTCCCATGTGAAATGAAATGACCTCTCCGGTAATTGCAATTGCAAGAGATTTCAGAGATATATTGCCAATTATTAATTGTTTTTCTGCCAGTCTTCAACGGTACTGAACCAGTTCTCTAATTTCTAATGGGTTTCCAAAGCGGGTTGCCACAAGCGGCTGTCTACCTTGACTTTGGACCGTTCCTGGTCAATGTCCTTAGCCATTTCGGTTTTGTTTGGAAGATGGCTTACCTTGCATGCGCATTGCGCACGACGCGTCAGCTCCTCCAGCTCCTCCAGCTTCTCCGACTCGGTTAACCAGATGTTATCCCGGTAGTGACCCCAGAGCAGGGCCATAAATTCTCACAGTATTGCCTACTACACGCCTGCGCCTCTGCAAATGTTCCAATTTGTATTTTTGCACAAATTGTTGTGGCCGTCGGGGCATCTTCTGGTTTCCCTGGTGATCTCCCTGGCTCGCTTGTTTGTTTTCGGCTGCATTTAATTTAATTTGGCCTGCCCAATTGGGCTGAACCGCAATTAGAGGCAAATGTTTTCGGTTGCATTCCAACGGCTACTTAGCCCCATGTTCGTGGCAATTAGCCTGTGGGATATTCGAGGACATGGGCGTGTTTTTCTGGGGCGGGGAAAGTTATCTGCCCGGCCAGTTTCCCACACGTTTGTTTGCTTAATTAGGTGAAAACTTGCTAACAGGGACAGCTGTTTGCCATGCCGGGCAATTGCTAATGAGCAGGACAAGCTGAAGGAGTTGGCGAAATCAAAAGTAACCAGCAACCGTCCTCGCTTTCAGGCTCTTGCCACTTTGGGATCGGAAAATGGAAATGGTAAACGGGAAAACGGTCACCAGTCGCTTCAAGTGCTAATTTTCAACTTTTGTCAGTCTGTCTTAGATGCACTAAAAAAAGAAAAGACGCTACGTTGGCTATAGCAAAAAAGTCAATAAATTCATGGTGACTTTCTTACGTTTTTTTCCCATAGTGCTCCCGATTTTCTATGTAGGGGCATAAGTGATTCAGTTAGTTTAGAAAAGAATTGATTTTCTATTTATTAATAAAAATTCTGTAATTTTCTGCTAGCAGTTTTTAGGCCAAACAATTAAAAAAGTCACTTTGCAGTCGGATTTATTTCAGTTTTTAGGTTCATTGGTCGGTTTTTGTTAGGTCTCGGATTTGTTCTTCTTTTTCCTACTAGTATTGAAGACGAAATTTCGAGGTGCCCAGTGCCATGGCAAGTGCATAATTTTTCAATCAAAGCGAGCAGCTGTAAAGCAAACAAAAGCTGGGGCCAAGAGACAGAAATCGTGAGCAGGCCAACATGGCTAGAAGAAAAAGAAAACCCGATTGGGAAAAGGAAGTGCTGCAGACGAGATCTTTGCCTCATCCAATCCCAGTCCCAGTCCCAGTCCGAATCCGAATCCCAAAGCAAAAGAAAAGCCAAATGGCAATGGCATTTAAATGCAAATGACCACAAAGCGTGAGGGTGTTCAATGCGAACTTTATGTATGGAAATTGGCAAATGCGAGCAGGCGATTTCCTCAATGGTCAAAGTGTCAAAGTGGCAACGAGTGTAGGTGTTGTCACACTGTTGTCTTTGGAATTCCAGCCCATCTTGTCCAGGCTCGGCTCGGCTCAATCCAGGCCAGGCCAAAGTCAAGTCGCTAATTAAAAGCCATTGCTAACAGTCAACGACTTAATGGCCAGGCATTTGCATAGCTGTCAACGCCTATAATGCCCACACTTGGCCACGTTCGAAAGGCTTGCTTAGAGGTGAGAAAAACCGAATGCAAAAAACTCACGCAGCGCTGGTCCGGATCGGTTGGACAACGCCTGCTCGCCCGCCGCATCGCAATCTCCTCTAGCTTCCAACTAAAAACTCCATCCACAGCCGTGTCCAAGCCAAATACGCACCAGAACCCGCCATAAAAATTGTCAAAGCGTGTCTTTGATGGCTCACCCTAAGCCATTTAAAAGGTACATTCACTATAAAGAGCAGTGAGACGCTCACTTTTTATTATGAAAAGTGGCTAGTCGAACTTAAAGTAAAGAAAAGCCTGCACAAGCCTCACTTCACCCTTTTGTTTTAATACTTGGGGTACCTTACCTTAGAGTATTCCGCATTCGTCCAGAGAGGTGTTTTTCAATTAACTGCAGCTTAATAGGGGCGTTTTATTCAACACGGGGCACGACGCACATGCGTATCTCGCACCTTTCCGGATTCGGTGACAGAGGGACCCGGCGGGAGGCATCTGTAGAGCTTGTATAGAGAAGACGAGACACACACGGCTTCTTGGAGGCAGCGGACGATGTCTTCATTCAGAAAGGCGGCACACGTCTTGAACGATACTCGGTTTTTCGCACATTTCAATTTCATCGGGATCATGATTAATCGACGCCTTCAGTGGCACAGAATTTTTGATGTGTTTCGCCACATTATAAGGCTCGAGTCAAGAATCGAGAATGGGATACTGGCGTGCGTAGCTGGAGCGTTAAAGAGGTCGTAACACGCCTGGTTAAGCTAGTTGCTATGCCGCCTCATAATTTGATTAACACTTCTGTCGGACGGCCCCCAACTGAAAGATACTCCTCATATGCCACATCTGTTTTAGCTGCTCAAAGTGCCGTGAAATTATCATAATTCCTTCTGTTGTCTTTCATCTTGACAAACAATTTGGCCAAGCGGCTCCCCAAGTTTCGTCAGTCGAATGTTAATGGCTAAAGGTGTGGGATATAGTAAGCAAAGGGGTTTTCGGATTCATTTGTTCAAAGCGTTAATAGATTTCGACATGCCCACCTAGCCACCGTAATTAATCTACTAATTCAGTCGGTTCTCGGCATGCGCCTTTTTGACCAATTAAAGAGCCAAGCAGATTTATTTTTAGACATTTATTTATATATGATTTTCTTTAGGCGTAGAGTTTATTGCATTACTTAATCAGTACAATTCGTTTATTCAATTTTTGTTTTTCTTTTTCAAATCCTCTCTTCGAGATTAAGCTAAGTCACTCGGAAACCTCTAATAATTAGCACCGCCTTGCGTAAATAGTTACGGTTAGGGTTTCGCTCGTGGCGCCTCGGAAACTTTGAAATGCCGCCTTGCACAGAAGCCTGGCGCAAAACATTTTGATACAAAATTATTTGGCAAACTTTGTGGGAAAATGTGAGCAGCGTTATAGATTATAATAAATAGTATAATAGTTTATAAATGCAATTCGCTCGAGGACATTGAAGCAGATTTCTCACTAATAAATAATTATCCTAACATTCGCTAGAGAGATTTTAGCTCTTAACTAATTGGAATTTAGCGGGTTGATTTTCCGTTCGTTCTCGGCAATGCGCAGATTATAAATGCTGGAACCTCGATTTCCAAGGCATTTAAAAGCGCGCATTCTTGAATGATATTCGTATCGTTAAAAAAAATGAGTCAGTACTCTAAGTGTAAACTATTCGTAGGCTTAGTCTAGGCTTGAATTAATCTAGGGTTTTCAATGATTTTCATGTTTGTCGCTGCTTGGCGAATATTTTCTATTCAAGTCTCATCGAATCTTTTGAAGCTTTCGAGGCATATTGCGTTTGTTCCCAGCTAAGTGCGAGAGAGCCACCAGATCTCCCCTAGAACTGCTGTCCGTAGCGCCCGTTTATGCCGCTGTCGTACAGTTTGCTCAGCGTGTCCTTGGCGCTGCCCCCGTAGGACGCTCCCGAGGACGAGGAGCCGGCGGAGGTGTTCGGTGGCGGGCCGTACAGCATGGTGGGCGCTCCGTAGGTGATGGTGGGCGTGGGCTCGTGCTGGTACAGGTAGCGCTCCTTGCCGGTTCGGCGCTGCACGGTCTTCCAGATACCGAAGATGCTCAGCTGGGCCAGCAGGAAGAGGGCTCCGGCCATGATCAGTCCTAGAGAAACGAGATGCCCGGATTAAAAAGATTCAACTGGGGGGTTTCCAATAAACTGGGGGTGAATAATATTTTCTAGACATTGTAATGCCTTTTAGCCAGTGACCTAACCCTAGCCACTTTCTACTCACAGCTTAATTACATTGTTGTCACACATATGAGGTAGTCTTTTATTGAATTATTTTTAGCCCTAGCCTTTCAAACCAGAATTTTGCTCCACATTGTGTTTTTAACCAATTTAAAAAGGGAAGTCCGCCTCTTATCGCCATAAATAAAGGGGATTATCTCGAGAAATCGATCTAGTTCGAAGAGTTTCAATGGAAACGGGTTGCAGACCCAGCGAAACTCTCGATAAAATCGCTCCAATGGGCGGAAGACAAAGAATAGAAGCCAGAAGTGACCCCAGCTCGGTTTGGTTATCACAGAAAACAAAAGTGGGCGCCACTTGACCCACTTAGCAGTGAACTGCAACAAAACCAGAGGAGTGAAAAGAGCGAAGAATACAGCTCCAGGGCACCAAGACGCAGAGTGACCAAGTGACCAAGTTTGACAGCAACAAGTTGAAGATAAACAAAAACAATGAGAGATAAAACAGCGACAATTTAATGCATGAGTTGCATATTTCGGCACGGACCTGGGTTTCGGTCTGGGTTTCGGACTCTCTTGGCTTCACTTTCTTTACCTTAGACATCGCATGTTGCTGGCTGGTTGCTGGGGTTCTTAAGAGTGCAACATGCCACATAAATAAGCCAGCGGACCTCGAAGGAGGAAATTCGAAATGCCGAAGAAGCCGGTAGAAATCGGGTGAAAGTGCCGCCAAAGTCAAAGTCAAAGTCAAAGTCGAGCTGCAGTGCTCAACTTGCATGCGTTGTTGCTCCGGCTGTTTTTGTCCAGTTCACGAATTCAGAATTTAAGAGCAACAGCGACGACGACATGCCAGATGCCTATCAGAGATTACTTCGTAACCATGTTGTGTTGTGGTTGTTTGTTCCTCAAATGACCATAAAAAGAGAGCCGAAAAACAAATCAACAAACTCACCGAGAGCCCCAACATCGTCATTATTATCATCACGGCCATGACTTGAATGAGTTTCAATAACAAAGTGCACGCACTTGAGACTTTTATTTATGTACGAGTATTTGACTCCGGTTTTTCATCTCAACAAGAAGACCACAATAACAGTTACAAAGAGGGAACAACGAAAATATACAAAATTATAACAATTACTATAAACGGTTATGCCGTTGTGGGAGTCTCAGGGGGGAAAAGCCGCGTTGAGGCGCCCACAAAATGGTAAATAATTTGATGAATCCCGAGCCAGAACAAAGAGCCAAGCAAAGTGCTGGGAAAACTTGCAAGGCAACGAAAGTGAAGTTAGGTTTCCGCAGAAATATTCCAAACTAAAGTTAAAAACGCTATAAAATCTAAAAGATTAATTTACAATGCCGGAGTGCAAACGTTTAAACCGAAGCCATGTGCATTTGGGTGAATAGGATAAATCTGGGCCGTAATGGAACCATTAAAATGATTAAAGAAACCGACGTATATGCTCATATTCAAAATCGCTTCAGAACATAAACTGGGCATCAACAGTTGTATGTCATTAAATAAACCGAAGTGTGGTTTCCAGAGAAACTTAATCAGGCTTAATGTATTTTTTTAACGACTGGCAGGAGCAACTGGTTATTAAGAGTACTAACACACATATTCATATGGTTTTGGATCAGGTGTCTGAGATAATTTATTAGCGATTAGTAACGAATGTAAATTAGCATTTGGCGATGCTTGTTCATAGATCAATAAAGAAAGAAAGTACATAAACAAAAAGAACGCTTGCTGGCAAGCGCTGTTTGTTCATCAATGTCAATAATTAAATAACTTTGCGAGCTTTAATGCTCGTGAAAAACCTATAAAAGGAATGAGCAAAAGAGAATGAAAATGTTATCGTGCAGATAAATGGTTGCATCTTTTTGCATTAAAGCGCTTACGATCAATGGTAAATTGATTTTGAATCACTTCGTGTGCTATTAGGAAAATATTAGAAATTATGTTCCAGCGTATCTGCGTATAAGAGGGCATCTTGCTGGCGATTCTTCTTAAACTAATACCAGATATTAGAGTGCTGAACTCAGGTGAAGTGTCCATTAAAATGATTCAAATAATGAGAGAGATTCATTTCTGAATAAATATCGGCGAGAAATGTAAAACGCTCATAAACTTTGACAAATTACAGGGTGCTGTTGATGCGGCGTTAAATTGCCGCTCTGCATGCCGAAGATGAAGGCTGGGTCCCATCTCCTCCCGGGTGCACACGCATATCCAAGTTGGCCAGGTGTTTTTAGAGCAATGTGTGCGGCAAATGAGCTTAGGCGCTGGTAGAACCGTTGCTCTAATTGCTTCGGTTTGCTCGCCTCTGATCTGCCTTGAAATGCAGCGCGTAATTACCTCAGAAATGTACGCCTGGTCTGTCTGGTGGTCCAGTGGAGTTTCATCTGTCTAACGAGCTGTCAATTTAACGCTTCAACGCGGCTTGGCAATTGCTCCACAAAAGCAGTGACACATGGGAGATGGGGCTGGCTGGCTGTCTCGGAAGCACAGAAAACCCAGCAGCCATCTGGATGGACAGCCAACTGTGCAGAAAGATTTTCGCGCCGCACGAAAACGAGGCGTGCAGAATCCTGCTGCACAGCTTCGGATGAACTAGTGACCTGGTCGTGAGCCAGCAGAGACACCGAGAACAGCCAGCCAACATCATAACACAGAACACGTTCTGGACAACCGAGAACCTAATTTAGGGCCCCTGCTCCAGACGGCAATGATGAAAAATTGATTCATTATCAAAATTAGCGAGCCAAGAACAAGCTGAGCGCCTCACGACGCGCGGAGGACACGATGTCGTCCAGGAAGCAGCAGGAGAGCTCCTTCTTGTCTATGCAAATCGAGCTGGCTTTGATTTGTGCTTGATTGGGCATTTTCACAGAGCCCCGAACGAAGTTTCCAACTTACCGTAGCCATTAAGGCAAGTGAGCTTGTCCTGGACCACGCCCGCATAGGCCTTCTCGTGGGGACCGGAGCCGCTGTCATTTCCATGGGTGGTGGTGCCGTCCTCTGGCTGGAAGCCGAACTTGTCTGTGATTTGTATGGACTGCATGAGCAGTATGTTATCATCCACGGGGCCCACATCGCGTCGATGGCGTGTGCTGAGCGAGAATTCAGCTAAAAATAAAGGAGAGAGAATGCTCAGTGGGAATGATAGGAAGAATGTGGTATCATATCGTAAAACTAAGAAGATGTGAAAGTTCATATTTTCTATAAAGATCCATTTAAATATAAAACTGGACTCAATAGTTCAGTTTGTGAAACAGGGTCGCTCTGCTTTAGAGATAGGTAAGTACTCACCTCCGTCAGTTCCATTCAGCACCGATCGCTTCTTGCGTCCGTAGGAGACCAGGGACTTGAGCTCTCCACTGGCGCCATCCTCGCTGTCGCAAATCACGGGTTCGCAGCGCGGAATGCAGGGCGTTACCAGGGCGCGGAACTGCACCACTTCGCTGGAGGGGAACTTGAAGGCGTCGAACTGCGAGAGCAGCACCTTGCGGTTGTGCGCCAGCTTCTGGATGGTGCCCATGATGTATTGGTCGGTGGGGCAGCCATTAGCATCGATCAGCGTTATCTCGGCGCTGTCCGAGCCGTCCATGGCGACCAGCTCCCTCACGAAGATCTCGTACGGGCTGTTGGGCTCCACGATCTCGAAGCGCAGGGCCAGCGGATCCCCGACCTCGGCGATCCTCTTCATGTCGCTGCCATCCCGCGAGGTGATCTTCATGATCACGTTGGGCGAGTCAATGGTGATCTCTTCGCTCAGCGAGGACTCGATCTCCCCAGTTACGCCCAGGTCCACGTCGTTCAGCACAGTCTTGTTGGTCAGGTCGTACTGGCAGGACACGGCTAATCCGAGATCCGAGGAGGTGACGATCATGTCGTGGTGCTGGATCACAATGTCGTTCATGTACCTGCCGTACGCACTCTGGCGCACGTTGCACTCCAGGTCGTTGTAGCCCATGCGGAAGTCGAACTCCAGGGAGTTGTTCACGTTCACGGCGCAGGACTTGGGAGCGCCCTTCGCGTACACCTTGCCGTCGAAGAGCTTCGAGGTGCGGATCTTGGTGATCATCTCCCCCGAACGGCACTCGATGGACACGTTGTAGCAGGCGGACAGTTCGTAGGTGGCTGCCTCGGGAACGTCCAAGTAGGGATCCATAACGTCGGTCAGGGTGGCGCGGCTGTGGTGCGACAGTCGGCAGACCATGTCCCCAGTGTCGTTATAATCGTACGAGTGGCACCTGACCGGGGTTAATTAGAGTCTCTGTGAGAGGAGGAAACAGTTTTCGCCTCAAGTGTACTTTACCTGTATGGAGAGTTGAGGCAAAGGTCGCGGCACTCATCGATCGTGTTGATGTCCTGGTAAACCGAGTCCACAGTCTTCAGGATCTTGCCCGAAATGCGCTTAAACTCGCACAGCTTGCTCGGCTCCTCGGCGCAGTTGTTCTCCAGGTAGTCGGCTCCGTCGTAGGGCTCCACACTGCCCCCCGCGGAAAGGGTTATGCGGTCCATGTCGGACAGCTCACAGAGTCCCGAGTGGCGGTAGTAGTTGGCCGATCTGCGGGAATTGAGCGGTAGAGGATGGAAGAGTGAAGGGAGGAAAGCGAGTGTCGCAGGCGGAGGCGGAGGCGGAGGTAGTGGAAGAAAGCAAGCGGTACGGAGAGACATTAGGAGAGAGTCGCAAGTTTGAACCAGAGCAAACGGAGCAAGTTAAGCCGCTCGAAGTAATAAAGTATTAACATCGCATTACTTATAATTACTGCGTTTGTACAAGCACTGATAGTACCAAACGCTAGTTCCTAGCTACAGTTCCTGGCCAAAAAGACCTAACACTCACCGGCAAGTGAACTCGGTCTCGCCCAGGCAGAGTTCCAAACAGTCGCGCCGCGACAGAACCGTCTGACTAGATTTGACGTGCTCCGGGAGGCGGTAACCTTGAACGCGATCGATGCACCAGGCCTTCGAGCAAGGACGGACGCCCAAACACGATTTCTGTGCGTAGATGGTGAAAACCGGAAACTGCGAGCGCGAAAGTGAACCTGAAAACGCAGAAAATGAGAAATGAAAAGTGGTGAAAAAGCGGGAAAAGCGGGAAAGGCAACGGTGTTGTGCGTATTAGATGCGTTTACGCACACGCCCCTTCACTGCGAAGTAACAGGCGTTGAGAAACGGACAGCAGCCGCAGCCTTTCGGAGCTGAGTCAGCTGAAACCACGACAACTGCATCGACACTCGAGATTCGAGATTCGACCGGGGAAGGCTGCGGAAATTATGCGTTACTGTGCCAAAAGCCAGTTTGCAGAATGGCCAGAAATCTAGTTTGCAGGCCGCGCCAAAAACCGCGTCGTGCGTAAAAGCAAGAGGCGTGTGCAGGTTCGCTTTATTTATTTGTGTTTTTCGCGGACACGCGGGTGATTTATTCCCCCGGGCCACGGCAACCGAAGCCGCAGCGAACCTGCATGAACTAGAACTCAGTAATTGAGTAAATGAATGAATGAACGACTGAGTCGCCTGAATTATCGAGCTTTCTTTGGCACAAAAAAGAAGTATATAGTAAAACAGCGCAAGCGCAGCCGTTCGGAATTCTCACACTTTCTAACTCACCTGGCAATTTATCGGCGGTCGTCTTGAACAGCACACACAATCCGGTTTCGTAGTTGACAGCGCTGCAGGACTCGTTATTTTGGCAGGCCTCCAGGCAGTCGGTGAGCATCAGAGTTCCCGGCAGAGTGTCCAGCATTTTCGAGGGGGCCGAAAGCACGTATCTGAAGAGCGCGGAAAGATGATTTATAAATGAGATCGGAATCTAGATAACCGAATGATTTATGGTCCGCGGAGCGGCTTATACTATAGATTCCCCAAGCAAACGAAAACGAAAGTGATCGGACATTCCACGATAAGAGGCCTTTATTATAGGCAGACCAAACAAAAGACTCAGGCAACGAACTTGCGGCGCGCGGTGTCATCGAATGTCATGGAATTAGTCACGTTTTTAACCAGCGTACAGCTTCGCTCCTACGGAAACCACACATTTGCATATGCCAGCAGGCAGTGCTCCACCGTGGTGGTGCTGGTGGTTCCCTTTGTGGGTTCACCGTTATCTAGTCTCTTTTCTTCTTAGGGAAATGTTAATTGGCCCAGATGTTGGTTTGCATTTCATTAAAAACTTGTGTACCTGCGGCAAGTCCATTGTGTTGTCGCTCAAAAATTGAAATTTTAGAAGAAAAGAAAAGTGAAAATAACAAGTGGCCATAAAATATAATCAGGTTTCTATAATGCCGGCGGTTGCGTAAGTTTTGGGTTGAGTGAAACCCTTTATGGCTTGCGATAGTTTCCAAAGGTGCTGAACCAGTCTGAACTTTACTGGGTTATGCAATGTTCTCTGGAAAATTGCTTTGTCTATTTTAGATTGATTTAGAAATATATTCCTATCCTGTTCCTGCATTTTAATACCCCAAGAGACTAATAAGTGCTGTGACTGCTGTTTGTTCCACTCACCCGGTAATGATCTCGAATCCAATCATGTCTGGATCGCACTCCTCCTCCTGGAGGACGACCGGTGCCTTGTCTGTCTTGGCCTCCGGCTGAGACTCGATGGGCGTGGCCAGGGGCTTGGGCAGCTCGGCGGGGCCAGCTGGAGCCCCAGATCCCAGGGTGGCTGCCTCCTGGTCTCCGCTTCCTTCCGTGGTGCTGCTGCTGGTGGGGCTGTTGGCGCTGGCGGGAGTGGAGCTGCCAGGTGGGGCGACTGCCGGCGGCGAGGGCGTCACATTGGTGCGCGGATTGGTCTGCTTGACCGGCTTGACAGGACGCTTTGTTTTGCGTGCGGCGCTGGCGGCGTCACTCGCAATTAGGCAGATCAGCAGCAGAAAGGTGCAGCGGCGTAGAAACATTTTGTCTGCAATTGAAATGGTTATACGGTGTGAGTACGGGCACCTGGCAATTGTGGGCCTCCGAGTGGTCGCCCCGGGGAGATGGCTTAATGTTAATTAGGCAACTAATTCCACATTACGCGCAGTTTATGTAATTCCTGGTGTGCACCTTATTAGTTTGGCGTTAGTGCTAGAGAGCAGGGAGTCTCCTCCACGGGGGCTTTGCTCGCCCAGGAATGAAAACGGAACGGAACTCTGTGTCTTCGATGGTATTTCATGGTATTCCGTGGCCTTCTATGTTCGAGCTTTAATTGCCTGCTTGTTCGCTGTGTGTTCGCAGCGTTTAATTAAAGCTACAGCTGCGCTTACAGCCTTCCCTGCTCTTTCCATTGTGCATACACAGCAGTTGCACCACCGACAATCAGAACAAAACAAAAACATTGCTCAGGCCCTCAGTGGGCCGATGTTTTATGTGTGAAACGCCGCCGCCTGGGAAATATTTTGGGGGTGCGGATGGGGGAGTCTGGATGAAATCTGGCGTAGGTGGCACCATGCTGGGGAAAACCTGGGAGACCCCATGGACCCCGGAAACCCCAGAGACCAGAGCCCCATGGGCCCAGTCTTCGCCTAGTAAGTATGGGTGTGCAATGTTCCAGATACACAAACTATGTAGGTGCTCTCGGTCAGGTGTGATAATTAATATTAATACACATGAAATTTGAACCCTGGTTTCGTTAACTACATAATAAATTCAGGGAATATCTATCTTACTATATAGGGTCTAAAACCTTGCAGGGAAACGCATGGATTCTAGTTATTGAAAACCACTCTGAATATACCAAGGGTGACTTAAGTGTATTAACCTACGATATATCATTCAACTTTTAAGTAGAATTCGGTACTGAAGAGTGTCTGTTGAACTCAGAGTTGAACAAACCTCTTTTTATTATTTTGCCTACTTGCTATATCTGCTTTTTTAATTACAGCGCTTTATGCACACTTTTTTAAAAGTCATGGACATATCAAACCGAAAATAAACATACTGTCGTTATGGTTTCTTGCTTCTGTCATAGCAATTTGCAAACCCAGTTATGTAATCTCGCTTCAAAAGCGCTAAACAATTAACACTTTACAGCTGGCGAATCTCAGATCTAAAGTTTCTTCTTTTTGCGAATAACAGACTAACTGCTATTTCCCGCTTTTTGGCGTGAAAGTGAATTACAGCTCTATCCCCCATTCACAAAAGAAGACAAGCAAAAGGCATTTTCGGGCTGTTAAATATTTTTATGCGTTTCGACTGTCGATCGCCGACAAGAGCGTAAAAAGTGAGTTTCACTGACTGGCCATAAAAAAGGCAGAGCCGTCGGAAAACAGAGATTCGCACTGCTAAGCCACCTGTGAGATAATCTAAAGTGTGGCTCATTATTTTGCCGGAGAGACCACGAAGAAGATTTAGCGGTTAATAAGCGGCTGCGTGAGAAAGATTTTCGTTCGGATTTTCATGTATTTTACTTTTGGCTGGGCTCTCTCACTGGCACTGGCACTGGGCACTTGTTTAATGTTTCGTTAGTTACATAATTAATTATGAGCAGGGGTTAGCCGGCAGGTGGGTTGCATGCAAAACCAGGGCCACGCCCACACCTCGAACAGCCTCCTTCGCCTGCAACAATGGCTCACACATAAATTACGAAAGCCAAACAAGAGTGGAGAGAAAGAACCGTTAATGTTAATAACATGCTTTAAGACACTGCACTAAAAACAATATGTGGCTGGAACCCCTCGATCATCGCGGTGGCGCTCACCAGTCTTCTGCTCGATTGAACGGCAAAAAAAGATGGAGAGGAGAAGGAACCAGAGGCGAACTCATTACGGAACGCTCACTTCCACTTGCAATTAGTTGTATGAATGAATTTATGCTAATTATAGGCCTCGGCAGACAACGCAACGCGCTTTTAATAAGCCACCGCGGGCTGAAACATAAAGTTTGGCTTCAGACCCATTCTTATCTCTGGCTTTTCGGCTTTCCTCTGGCCCTTCCCCTGGGTTTTTCTTTCGATTCGGTTCAGTTTCACCTGCTAACCCACAAATGTAATGAGCCATTGACCAAAGTGGACAGAAAAGGCAAGAGAAGAATGGCCCAAACCCCAGAAGAACGGTAAATGTGCGTGTGTGTGGCATGCGGTTGGTTCGAAATTCGGGATTCGGAAAAGGGAAAAGGGAAAAACGTTCTGTGGTTGCAAAGCACTTAGAATTCCCATGCGAGCGTAACCGAGAACCTCCGAAAATGCAGCTACATTTTAATTAACCCGCTGCTGTAATTTGTGGCCAGCCAAACGTTCCTTTGTTTTCCCATTTTTTCCATTCTGTTTTTCGAGTTTTGATTCAACGGCTGATGGTTTTCCCTCGCCGAGTTCAGATATGTCTATCAATTTCACTAATTGAACGTTAACAAGCCGCCGCCGAGAAGCTGGAAGCGGTTTTTCCATCCATCAATCATGTAAACTACTCAGCGATTTCAATCGGAGAGAGATACAATTTGGATAGTTATTAGGTGAGACCGAGACCCGGCCATTCGCAGTTGCTTCCTAGTAAAATTCTTCCTCGGCCCATAAACAATGGACTTGAGAAACGAACTAACCATATGCGTATTGCTCGGATTGCGGCCTACAGAGTTTCCATTACAATTTGCTAATGGCTTTTCGCCCCGTCTGGCTCTCTCGCAAGTGAAAACAAAAGACGAACTCATTTGCCGATGAAAATCTAATTGAAAACGTTTAAATTGAATTCGATTTGCTTTACTTGCCGACCGAAAGGTCAGCCAGCATCCACGTCCAATATATTCAATGAAAATTTCTCTAGTTTCGTATGCGGTTCCCACAGAAGGCATAAAATTTTCAATCGTTCGATTTGAATTTATGCCAACTAAATGCCAAATGCTAATTGACTTTGCAGCCATAAAAAAACAACACTTTCTCGGTAAAAAGTAGGAGAATACCTGACTGCAGGCTTGCAACTCTGCTACTCCAGCCTGAGCATGCATAATAAATGTGGCCTGTCGGGGAATGAGTGCTCTCGACCAGAAGGAAGCAGCATATTAGCACTGGAGTCGCCGAGGCGGCTTTATCATAAACTAAATATAGCAGCAAATATCAATTTGATTGTGCTGGCCGAGAGCGCACAAATTGAGACCGGTGCACAATGGCGATTCAGTGCAGTGTCTGCAGGAGACTTCGGACCGGAGACCGAAGAACGGGCCTAAACAGACATTGTGTTGGCCGGCAAGTACCGTTGAGCTCGGCTCGAGCATGTCCGGCTGCTGGCCAGTGATAAATTATCACTGTTGGCCGGGCCATTACTTTTCGGAAATGTACGAGGTGAGCGACTGCGGCGGCTCAGCACCGCCACCCCAACTGCCTCCAATAAAAGGGGAATCAGAATGGTTTGACGATGAGAATGCGCTTTTGGCCGATGGGCAGAGGTAACCGGAGATAAACAGCCGGCTTTTGCCGAGGCGTTGGCGTTTATTATGCAAATATTTTAGCCTTAACTTAAGGCCGCAAATTAATATGGCTCAGCTCAGCTCAGCTCAGCTCGGAGCTCTGCAACTGCAGAACAATGTCGCATTCATTTAACGGCACTTGGCTGATTGTTGTTTAAGTTCAGTTCATAACAATTGCGGTGCAGTGGTGCGATGGTGCAGTGGTGCAGTGGTGGTGATGCTTTGTCCGCTCCGCAATTTACTGCTTTTGCATAGTTAACAACTTGATTGGTAGCACTGGGCAGGCTGACATTGAAATGTAGGCCTTGCCATCATCGATGCCCGCCAATGATTGCTGCCGATCTTGTCGTGGTCGTGGTCGTCTTCGTCTTCGTCTTCTTTGTGTTCTCCGCTGTCGTCATGATGCATAAGTGGAGGGGACCGACTGGTTGCTGCCTGTTGCATAACTAACAATGTTTAGAGCGCATAAATACATGGCCACGGCCGCAGAACACCGTACCGCAGCGAACTCCATCTAGCATCTAGTATTCAGAGTAACGGAGCCCCGCACAAATGCTCATGACATGCAAAGGAATTTCAGTTATGTTCTGGCCGCCCCATGCGGGGCGGTTCCCCCCCGGAATCTGGGCATATATCCCCGGCCATTTAGCAATGCAAATTGCGTTGTTTAGTTTATAGATAATGTCATTCAGAATGCTCTCGCACAAGTATCGCAGCAATGCTTAAGGAACTCGGCGCGATACAGAACAAGTTCGCTGCCAGAGCCTCTCGATAAATGCCCGTGATAAGGCTGAAGAACGACAGTTGGCATGGAAAGCGGAGGCAAATCTACGGGTAGCGTTCTTCTGGCCGGAGAATGCTGGATTTGATTAGCGAGTTGCGCCGAGTTTCAGTTGCGATCGATGGTGTATTCTGTGGATCACTTGGATTGACGGATCTCAAACCCTCCACCGTACAGGCTGACCATCTAAGCTCGTTAATAAGCCATAAACATCCCAAGTACACAACTTGGCCAGGGAGCACCATCCAGAAGGTACTAAGGAAATCGTAAGGAAGTGGCACGAATCTTCATGCACAACTCTATCTTCATCTAAGCAATTAGTTAGATCGATTTTTTTACCTTTCAGCTTAGTGAGTGCAAAAGCCAAACAGATATATTTTCGAAAACTATAGTCATGAGTCAAGGATAATTCTAAGAATTCACCATCTCAGGAATGGTCATACATTTATGCTGCACACAGTTTTCAATATCTCAACCAAAGGAGCCTGACAACACTTGGAAAGCTCTCGGAAGCCCATAGAAAGAAGACGCACGTCTCCAGCTACAACTTAATCTTCATCAGAGCAGGCGGCACTGGAGAGCACTTTATGGTCATAAGCCAGGCAATTAACACTTGACATTCTTTTCACTTTTTGTCGGCCGTTGATATGCTTTGGGCTTCGCACTACAGCTGCCACTAATCGCCTCATAAAAACACATTTTATTTGAGCTACGTGACAAACAGAACTTTATGGCCAGTAGTGCAGGCGAAGAGTCCGAGAAGGGACCGCAGAATAGAGAGTTCTTTGGGACGTGTGGCCAAGTACATTTCGCTTTCTAGCAGCCCACATTCTGGTATTCCGGCCTTCACCTGGCCATTCTTCGGCTCCATTGTCCGATGGCATCAAATTCTACTTGAGCGCTAATTCGAGTCAATAAAAAAACGTTTAAAAGCAAACAATAATGAATGCTAGTTGCTCTGGCAACCGGCTATTAGAAATTCTAGCAAACTGGCTCAAAGAAACACACAGAAGTGAAAGAAAGCCGGCCAGACGTAAATTAAATGGAAACTGCCAGGCGAAAAACAACAGAAAAAGCGTGGTTTTTGAGTTCGAAAGCTCGAGCCGAGCGGCACGTGCCTCGTTGGCTTTTCTCTTTCGGGAAATTCTTTTGGGCAGAGATTCATAACCGAAAACCGCTGACAGCCAAACATAAATCCCGACAAAGCCCGAAAAAGGAAACGAGCGAGAGACAAGAGGAAAAACAACCCGTAAAAAATCTAAACAAATTGAAAAGCGCACGCCAAAGTCGCATCATCATCATCGAGAGCTCGAAAACTGGACCTGGAAATCAGGTCGCTCGGCGGTCGGGCCTCCCACAGTCGTATGATTTATGCCCAGTTAACTGTTCACCCACCAGCCATCCAAACCAGGCAAGGCATGTGTGCGTTGCAAATTTACGACTCAATCAAATGCAAATTGCAAGAATTTTTGAGCTGCACCTGTTGGGGGTCTCTTCCTGCTGCCCCTGGTGACCCAGATTCGGGGGAAAAACGGTTATAAATTGCGTGAAAATGCATTACGCAAGTACAAAAGGCTGTGAATGGTGGCATCAACATCATCATCATCCACAACCAACAATGTGAATTGGCCGCTCCAGTTTTGCTGGCTAATTTATGCAACATTTGTTCGCTTGGCAGGTGGAAGCTGTCGGCGCACGTAACTGTCAACATGGCGCAAACTAACTGTAAACTGCATATGCCAACAGCCACCCACAGCAGAGAATGCAGCCACCGAACCACTGAGCCAACGAGCCAGCGAGCCACCTTGCCACTTTTGCCACTGAACCACCGACCGCGCAGCTAATTGTCGACGCTTTTTGCATTTAAGCCAATTTGCGTTCACATTGTTGCTCGTCTGGCTGCTGGAAAACGGCTGCCATCTAAATATCTAAACCCAAAGCCAGAACTCTGGCCAAGATCTCTACTTTCAGCCGTATCTCAATGTGTTTGGGCCGATTAGAATGTGCCATTAACCCATTTGCGAGCGGCGGTTCGGCGATTTGGCGTTTCGGCGTAAAAGATGCACACGGAGTGTGTAATTTAAATGCATAACGAAGCTGGCGACAAATTCAATTAACCCATTAAAGATAACACAATTGATGAGCTAACGACACATGTACGCTGCTCGCTAAATATTTGGACAACAACTCCATTTGATTTGCGCTTTGTTGATTGGTGTTGAACAAATGGGGCTATAAACTTGATTGGCTGTCTTTAGGTTAAATTTGCGAATTCATGGCCTGTAAAACTATAGTTACAAAGAGAAGCACCTAGTTTTCTCCAAACACAGGCTACGTTGTTAATTAAGAGGCTTTTACCAATTTTTCTAATGGGTACTGCACTTGTGCAACTAGAAATCATAAATTATGACTATTTTTATTCTCTTTGTCGCGATTGAAATACCTTTCCACGCAGTCGTTTGTCAACAAGATCTGTATGCACAACAGGTACAGGCGGACCAAAGGATGAATGGCAGGCACTTAAATATGTGGCACTCGAGGGTTAAAAGCGGCTTACGGCAGCTAAGACAACAAACAAACAAACATCGCGGGGAAACAAACAAGTTCTGTGCTCAAACACACGGGCCTAAGCAAACAGAGGCAAGACAATTTTAGCTTGGCGCTGGAATGGGAATGGGAATGGGATTTGTTTGTTTGCCAGATGGATTGACTGATTGATAGACTGACGGACCGAATGACTGGCCAGTGGCCAGTGGCCACTGCACTTTGCAGCCTTATGATTTCGCCTTGCCGACGCTGGGCTAATTTGTTGGCATCCATCGAGTGGAATTGGCCAAGACAGGAAGGCAGCAAAAAGCCAGGTGAAGAATCTGGCAGACAAACGCTGCCGCCGCGGACTGTCTGCAGAATTCCAGGTAATTCTCCGTTTGATTTATTAGCCATCATTACACACATTCGATGGCCGCTGATCTCTCGCTGCTGCGGGGCAATCAGAATCAATATCTCAGCATCAGCATCAGCTTCTTAGCTTCTCAGCTTCTCAGCATCTCAGCTGGACTTCCGGTTCAGGTGTTTCTGCCACTTCTGTTTGCCAGAGGAAGAGAAACCAAGTCCTTTTGGGAAAGGAAGCGAATCGCCACTTCTATGGACCCATAAATAACCCCAAAAACAGAGTCAGTAGCCCAATTGGCCACGTTTATATATAGAACGACTCGCATTATATAATTTGCACTGGCCAAGATTTATGGCCCGGGCACAGTTGCCATTTGCGGCTACGCGATTGTGGTCGCTTCCATTTCGAATGCGTCTTTAAAACGCAATAAATATTAAAGCCGCTGGTCCTCTGCGTGCCTATCTGCCGATAGGCAGCAGCGCGAAAAAGCTGCCGAGGAAAGCATCTGAAAAGTGGAACAGGCCAACGGCATGCAACTTCAACGGCAAGAAGCCACGACAACTGGGCTCCTCTCTGTTCTCGGCTAACAATATTCATTGCACAATTATGCCTTGCCTGATTCTTATACCAGATCTTAATTCTTTATATAGACAACTAATTTATGCAGTGTCTGCACGTCAGTCAGGTGAAATATACGTATACATATACAAATACATATACACACAAGTATATGTGTGGAGGGGTCCCAGCCCACGCCAAATTATTTGCTATTTAGTCGGCGAACCCGAAACTGGGTCGATGATATGCACTGGAATGCAGTGGCTGAGTGTGGCCTAAACGAATTTCACTTTGTTGGCCTTGTGGTGAGCTATCACGATACACTTTGATTGCAGTCGGTGTAATGGGGTACTTTATTGCTGCGAACGCACTAAATCGCACTTCCTTTACAACTGCATGGACTAGTTTAAATTTAAATTTTAATTTAAAACCCATAACGACTCGCATCTGGCGATAGGATAAGCGGCCTTCCAGCGAACGGGGTTCGAATAGAACATGGAACTTTATGACCGAACAAGTGCCGCACTGCACTTTTACACTTTTCTCGACTGCACCTTGGCACCACCCTGGCACCACCTTGGGCCCCCATTAAACTCACTGGTTCGGGTTTTATGGTTCTGTTTCATCATTCTCACTTCATTTTAATGAATATTTAAATATTTCCCGTTGTAAAAATAACAGCCCACTTCCGCTTCTCACTAAAATGGTTATGGTTTCTAGAACATTTGAGCTTCCTGGGAAGTTTTTCTATGCATAAATTTAGTGTATTGTGGCAATTTAATGGCCTACAAAAGTACACACGAATCCTGGCAGCTCTTAAATAGAATTCTCACTCTGCTGTCGATTCTGGGGCTCTGGCACTCTGAACTTGACATAACCTCTAGCCATATTTGATTTGGCACATACCTTAACTGTTTGCTCTCGTGTCTTCAATCCTCTCAGTTCGGGCTTTCCGTCGCCGTTGTATCTGAAAGGCAAACGAATGCAAATTAGTTAAATATTTGCCTACAACAATGGGCCCGGCTTTGAGCCACAAACCCACTTAAAGTACGGGCGATACAGATCTGGGCATCTGCATCTGCATCTGCATCGGCGGCAATTGAGTTTAGTGTGACAACGTTTAATGTGAAAACGAGGACTAAATAAATAATTTTTACCACTGCGAGACGAGACGAGGCGAACAAACAATGAGATGCAGCGATAATTTCATTATAAGAGAGAAAACTTAGGAAGATCGCTGCTCCAGCGGATGGATGGTGTATCCGTCTTGACGTCGAGCGCTTATCTGGAGTTTGAATCGTCGGCAGGTGACATTGAAGTAATTTACTTGCTGTTGCCAGTTTCCACCGCTACCCACACAATTTATTTGCAACTATTTAAGCGAAGAGAAGAAGGAAGCCAAGCAATCCGAGCCGTCGTCGTGGCCGGGCCAAAAAGCAAAAAAGCCAGGCCAGGCCAGGCCAGGCAACCAGCAACCAGGCAACCAGGCAGCAGCAAAGATCTCGCTAAGTATTATTAGCCAGAGTCTCAGTCACTCAGAGAACTTGGTTTTTCCCCGGAGCCAGAGCTTCTTCTTCAGCTTCTGCTTTATTATTGGATGGCAGTAGTGTCGTTGTTGTGGCAGTGGTTGTCGTTGCTGCAGTTGCTGCAGTTGCGCTGCTGCTGCTGCTGCATTTCGCATTCCATGCTAGCGAAAGTTGACCTAGTCGACGATCGCGGTTTTGGTTTTTGTTTGGTCGTCGGAGGCGGCAGGGGTTGCAAGCCGAGCCAGTGCAAATTTGCTTATAGCTAACGAAATTAAAGATGGCCAAAAGCGCAATAGCTCAACAAGGAGCTGCGCCATTTGCAGAATTCAAAGGTTTGATTCTTCACATTCATTTAAATGGATACCTAAGTGTTATTTCGTTTAGAACAATACTCTCATTGGGTTGGGACTTTTTCAATCCTACCTCTATACTAATTTTTTGTTACTGTGTAACCATTCAAGATGTAAATTTGCACGAATTTCCCCGGCCAATCTTCACTCTATTCTACCGACTATCAACTACCAACAGCCAAATAGCAAACCGAAAACATTTGCACAATTAACTATGCACTGCACGCGCCCGACTCCGATGGTCCCGATGCTCGTTTCTTTCGGCCACTTTCTTTTGGCAGTTTTAAAATGCAAATTGTCTTGATGATGGAGTGCCGGGCATTCTAATCAACTGGAGATTTCTGCCAGATCTCAACTCTTACTTTCGACCGGCACTTAGATGCCCAACTTCGCCGCTGACGTCAGCAGTTTGGGACAAGAAAAGGTTTCCGCCGGCGGCAAAGAACAAGTACGGCAGGCGGAAGCCTCAGCCTCGCAGACATTGAACTGTAACACTTTCTATTGAGGTCAGCCGAAAAAGCCAACGAAATAATAATAAAAATGCCATTGAATGGGTGTAGAAGCGGCAAGAAAAACTCGTGGTTGGCTGGCTCATAAAGGCGGACGGACATGCATGGCCAGCACAATGGAAATGCCCAAAATGCCAGGCACGTTCCCGAGCCGGTAAAAAAAGAGACCCACTAACTCTGGAAATCCAACCTATTAATGTAATTTTTGTCTTCTTTATATAGTATATCCACACTCCCGAACTGAAACGCAGCAATGTCAAAATGTTAACAGCACTCAATGGCATCCACCGGCTGTTTCTTCGACTCCCAGGGAAAAGGGGTCTTATAGGTCTGCGGGGTCTGGAGGTCTGCGGCGCTTTCTTTTGTGCACCCAGCCAAGATTTTTGTCACGATCCCCAGACTTTAACGTTTATTGGATTATTGTCATTAAATTTGTTTGGCTTCGCGGAAAGTCTTGAAAGCGAAACCCAGACGGGAGAAACTCAGTGGAGGTTTCGGGAAGGGAGGTCCTCGCCGTGAGTCAGAGGTTAGCTCTAAAGAGGCGCTTCTCGTCTTGAAGTGACCTTGGTTAGAGGTCGCTTATTGGATACTGAGCAAGGGTTAGATCTGGGTAAGATTCTATTTGGTTAGTGGTTTTCGAGTTCTGGGCTAAATGTCTTGTCTCTTATTTCATGCATGCATCATCATTGCACTGCCTATCGGTGACCACCTAGTAGGTATGCTAACTAGTAAATCTTTTTTCATTTACTTCACTGATCAATTCAATTACTCATTAATTTAATGAATGCTGGCTAATTGGTGGTAACTCAATTTCGCTTTGGCCAGCAGATGTCCCATTCTCGTGGCTGCGATCCTTGGCGTGCTTTTACTTTTCTTCCATCCGACGTGCGCCTTTTCTTTTTGCCATTATCATTGGCGGCAGACAGACAAATACGTATGCGGCTCTGCATCCACATATCCATCGGCCACAGCCAGCTGCCAAATGTCAAAGTTTAAGCAAATACAAACGCCTGGGCTTTGGCTTAGGCATTGGCATTGGCATTGGCGTTGGCATTGGCATTGGCATTGGCATTGCGATGGCGATTGCCACTCGGTCGTGCCAGATGGTTTTGAGTTGCACCCAAAGCGTTTTCAGCCTCCTCTGCTTCGTTTTCGCGCATTTAATCGGCGACAATCACAAGGATTTCGGAGGGAGAAAGACGTTTTTATTTATGGTCGAGGAAGCCAAGCAAGCGAAAGTCAAATTCTTCAACGATTATTTCTTGCTGATTTTCGGCGGCCGCTTCTTCAAACTGAAATCGTTTGCCCAAAAGTCGGTGTCATTTATCCCCACCTAGAGTTCATTTTTCTCTTTTTGCTTTTTGCTTTTTGGTTTTTGGATTGCCTTCAGGCAACAGGAGGCGATGGCAACTCCTGCCATTGTTTTTTCGGCTTGACTTCGGGTTCATTGATATTTCGAGTGTGCGAAAAGTGAAACTCTCAATTGTCAATGTCCGATGTCTCTGCCTCTGAACTTGGCTCAGATATCTTAGCCCCCCGGCGTCTGCCAGTGCTGCATGCGAAAGCTTTTTACTTTTCAATTAAATTTCAATTAAAATATTACCGCAGCAAAAACGGCAGCAAAATACTTTCACACACTCGCAAATTATTTCGGGCAGCACTTCTGAACGAATTAGCCAAACTGCATGTCTTCAAATTGGACATGTTCCAATGAAAGCGAATCAAGTGCGATACAAGCCAACATATTGATGGACAGGCTGTGCTGTTGCCGTGTTATTAGCCTCTAGAGATCTGGCTTCGATCTCCAGGCGATCGAACAGGGCGTTCACTTAATAAGTGTAATTCACATGATCAAGTCGGTGTATAACCCCGTCAAATAGTGGGATTAACTGTACTAAACTGTGCCATCGAGATAATCGTCTCAAGGGGGAAATGCGATGTAGAAAGCTGCTCTCATCAGATGATATCATTCGCCAATTTCCTTCGATAATTTCTCAACCTAATTTCTTCCATCTTGCGCATAAATTATCATAAAGCCCATTTAAAATCAAGCGGCATTAGCCCCAAAAGGTGCCGAAAAACGAAGAAGAGGTAATCACAGGCCAAAGCCGAATGCAAAGTAATCCAAACAGTTATGTTACTTCCCATCGGCCGACCATTGTTGGATAAAGTTCTGCTAATTGCCGGACCAAACAGCCAGCTGACCCAGAAGTTGACAATCGCAAATAAACAAAAATGGAAATTTGGCACGCCGAAACCAAACAGCAAAACTGTTAACCCAAATGAGGCTTTCAGATGGCAAGCTGAGGTAAGTCTAAGTCGCGATGGAGAGATATCTCGGCAATTGACAATTCTTGCGGCGGTCCATCAATCAATTTTCCTGGTTAAACTGAAACGGAAGCGGTTTTTCTGCCTGACAATCAGCACAATCGCAATCTCGCTACTTAGAATCCATTTCGCGATTTCTTCTCGACGACATCTTGATTAGCCATTGATGACCGCTGTCAGCCGCAAAAGTAAATTACAAAATGGAGGGACCAGAAAAAGCATATTGCCGGCCTGGAAGTTAGAAGCGAAATGCAAAAGCAAAAGCCAAAGCGCGGACTTGCGCCAAATGTCAAATTAAATCTATCAATTTCACAGCAGAATGAACGCCCAAATGCGGTGGGTCTGGGTCCCCACATAAAATCCGCATGGCCAGACATTTGAAATTGCTTTGCTGACACCGAAGTGTGTGGGGAGTGGCTGGATGCAAGATGCTGGATGCTGGATGCTAGATGCTAGATGCTAGATTCTAGATGCTAGATGGCTCTAAGGCACAGCTGGCTGCTCTGGCTACCTGGTGTTGTGGCATTTGATGTTGTTTGCCCGTAATTGCAATGGGAGAACTTTTTGCAGAGGCTAATCAACGCTAACTGCAACAAACAAGCTGGACAAACAAACGCAAATTGTTTTCCGAGCCACGGAAGCCAAGATGCAGGCGAATATTAAATGCACATGACAAATTGCCAAGCCGAAGGCGAAGGCCAAGGCTCTGCAGATGCTCTTTTTCCTGGGCCTTCGTTATTTTTCCCCCATTTGGCGGCAATTAAAGCGCACGCTTCGTCTAATCAACGGCGACTGGCAGGCTGCGTAAATGAATAGCTGTCAGGCGAAAGAAGGCTGTGTTGTAACTGTCATGTCATCGTGATGATGCCAACTCCCTAGCAACTCCCCAGCAACTCCCTAGCTTCCTAGCTTCCTAGCCAGCGACTCCAAGCCCAGTCATGGCCAGGGCAATTATTGCGGGCAAATTTAAATACCAACTCCCCGCGGTTCGTTTAGGAGCCCTAGCCAGCCAGCCAGCACGGTAGCTGACATTCAATGGATCATTTCAGCCGGTGGTCTCCGGGTTGCTTGGCTTTAGCCCGGGCTTTGTCCGCTGCTCTCCAGATCATCATCGCCTTTTATCGGAGTAGCAGTCCTGTTCTTTTATCTTTTCTACTAGTTGGATGCGGGTCGGGTTCTGCTCTGACATGCTGCATTGTGGATTTCACACCACATCGGGCCTTAATTATTTTAATTGCCCGACTTGTGTTCGCTTTTAATTATGGGGAGTCTAGATGATCTATAAAAGACAGCACCAGGCTGCGAAACTTAATGAATCTGTTGCCAATTAATGCAAATGCTGTGGATGCCATCACCATTACAATCTGGCTACATTCTTTTTGATGGGGACTAATTCAAAGGAAGAATTGGTTTCAGAATTATGCAGTTAAGTTGTAAAGGAAAGTACAAATAGAATTTTGCAATTTGGCTTAAAATGTTTTTAAAAACACTGCATTTTGATTTAAATAATTATTGATTTTAATTATTATAATAAATATTAAGAAATATGTATGTATGATTTTGGTTTGGGACATCTTTTTCAAACAGCTTACACACTTCAGGAAAATATTTCTAAGTCAAAGATAGGTGAGCACCCACTAAAAACACTTGAATTATTTTCTTTGAGCTCAATGAGGAAGTTTTGCAATCAATCGACCCAAGGTTGGTTCCTGCGCAGATTGTTGGAACGAGAAGGAGAATTGTTGCCGATCACTGCCCTCCCGATTTTTGACTTGTCATTGCACATTATATGTGTGTGGTAAAAGTTAATAAACACTCACTTGGCCAGAACAACTTGCAACTGCAACTGTAACTGTGACTTTGAATGCGGCGTCGTGAGTTTCAGAAGTGACCGAAAAGTATCCTTTCCTTTCGGATTGTCTTGTTCTCCTGGTGTTTTGGGCTATCGATGCTGAGTCACGCTTCACTTTCGAGATGAGTTTTATTCATGTATGTAAATGATCACTGTTTGCTGATTACACACATTACACATTTGGTGGGGATTGAATGTTGCACTTGACTGAGCTTGTTCCTTGTCAAAGCCACGGATACAAATTCCTGGCAACGCGGTTCGGGTTTGTGGATTATTTTTGTTTGCAGAAGGCAAGTCGCGATCGCTGCGAACTTGACCGTCGAGAGTTGACCGAATAACTAAAGTAAACGTTGGGCTAATCAGTCGTTATATAAGTTGCTCTCGGAGGAGTTTGAGTTCTTCTTGGCTGATGTTGCTGCTATTTCCCTTGCTTTTGTTGCGCTGCTCGCGTGCGTTCGCCTTGACAATGGCCAACGTTATAAACTGCTGCCGAGCACGGAGCTCAAAAGAAAGCCAGCACACAAAGCAGCTGGGCAAAGAAAGCCAAAGAAATGAGCCGCAAACACAAAAGACTCAAACTCAAAGTCAAACTCTCGTTTGGAGTTTGAGTAGTTTCTTCGGGGAAAAAGCGAGTGCTTGTGCTTGTGCTGGCTTTTGTTTGCATTTCACTCGGGAAGACGCTCTTCTCAGACTCTCTTCGCTTCAACTGCTCTCTTTTGGGGCACATGTGGCATGTTTCATTGAGTCCCCTCGCGGTCCATTCATAATTTCGATTATCAAATCGGCCGGCAGAACCGAGAGGGTTCAAAACGGGCACACACGACGTTCAATATCATTAATTAAATTGAAATCAGTTCACGAGCGGAGGAGCTGGAGAATTAGAACCGAGGAAAAATCAATTTTGCCCATGAGATCGCACTTAGCCGAGTTATTGGTACATGAAAATTATGATATTATTTCTGGGCTGCCTCGGACTCTCTCGTCTTGTGGTCAGCAGGCACTGTCGTGCGTTTTATGCTCCATAAAAGCTGTCCAGTGCTGCAGTTTAAATGAATTAGGAACCCAAAACGAAGTCAACTTGATTAGAAAGGCACTGCAGAAGCGAAAAGGAAATCAAAACAGCAGTCAATTGATCACCCAGCCTCTGGAACTGCCAAAGAAAGTTAGTCATTTTGTCGGACAGCGTATATAAACAAATAGTTTGATAACATTTCTATTGAGTTATTAACATGTTAAGCTCATAAATTGAACGATTCGCCGCTCATCCAATGTAAACACCAACGATCACAGAACAATCGACACAAAAGGCCACCGAAAAATGAATCAATATGGGATCGGATTTTGGATTGTGTCGAATGACGGCAGACCTTTCGCTTTCAACGAAGCTGTAACTGAAAAGCGGAGAGTCGGCACGATCTTCTGCATACTGATGAGACCAGAGACGATCATCACGATCCGGAGAAAGCCAAATCAAAGAAATCTAAATCCACAACTGACGACAAAGCGACAATTGCTAAATGAAATGTCGCGCAAGGAAGCGAAAATTGTAACTCTTGCAAAGCGGCAATCAAATGTCGCCGGAAATGTTTACACAAACCGCTCAAATATGCCCGAAAATGTTTTGGAGAGGGGCTTTAGGGGCTGGAAAGGCAATTTGCATTTCACCGTGTGACAATGACAGCTGCTTAATGATGATTCGCGTTGATTTGCCAAGATTTGGTGATCTGTATCTGAGGCTTTTGAAGATTTTTTTCTGCAGTGACGACTGTCAACAGGTGCATTATTTTTTGGCGAGAATCATGGCTTCTTCTTCGCAGCTTTCGTTTTTTGCGGCCGAAAATGAAAACTGCAATTTCCGAGAATGACAGAAAGCAGCTGCAGATGCTCCAGCTATCGCACCAAGTTTGTTGCTTAAGTCTTTCGTTATTATTTATACCACAGACATCGGATTTTAATTGCAGCTCATTTTCCAAATTTTCTCGTTCAGTTTTGGCTTTGGGCTGGCAAAACCTTTCTCCCACTGCCCGCAGCCATGGGATTTTTGTGCTAGGTTGGTACCCGTCTTTATACCATTTTTCCATGGCTGTTCCTCGTAGTGGAAGACTGTGCAGATTCTAACAGCATCTGCTAACGATTTCGTAGCGCTCGCTGCCTGCTGATTAAGTTGCTGCTGCATCTCGGCTGAGAAAATGTGCCAAAAACAAACAAAGCTTGTCTGCAAACCTGGCTGGGTCCGCGAACCGAATCTGCAATGCACTTTTTATCCAGTTGCCTGACACAAAACCAAGCTAGCTTCTGGTCGCGTTAATAACTTCTAAATAACCTATTGATAAGCAGCATGATCTAAAACTCCTACTTTGCATTATCAAAAGATTATCGTTAAAGCAGTTCACCATCTGTTTGTTGGCAATTCCTGATGATCAGTGTGTACTGACCTGTGTAAACATTTTTTAATCGAACAACCGAGTAGTAAACGCATCTCATTCCTTGTTCACGTTTTGAAGCTTCCTACAGTTGCCTAGCTCCTCAGTAGTTTAGCATACCCCACAGGCGACTTTGAAGCCCAACCAGAACAAGAGCTAACGTTATCCCATTGTAACTGAACGGTTGTTAACAAGGGGCTGCCGAGTCGGAAAGGCAACCCAAAGCAAACGAAACGATCCGAATACAAGTACAGAGCCAAATTGGGCGTAATATTATGCCCAGGCCCTGGGTGAAATATGAGCTGAGAAAATTTTATTTCAGCTTTGTTTGTCCCCGGGTTTTGGGCATTGCAGGCCCAAATGTGTGTGAGGGGCCAGAAACTGGGCTTGCTCCATCGCCCTGGGCCTGCGATTTGTTAGCGATCGTATTAAAGCATTTATTGGCTTATTTAATGCGATCATGTTGGCCGACATCGTAACGTAAAAACACCGCCTCTGGTGTAGTTAATCAAAAATAAACAGCAAAAAGAGAGAGAAAGAGAGAAAGAGAGAGAGATATGCTCGTAAAATATGGAAAGAATAGGTCCAATATTTGCCCATTCGACTGCTAATCAGGTCAACGTTTAATATTTATATTCTTGGGGCGTGGCGCGCTCTGAAACAAGTAACATAAAGCAATTCAATTTGCTGCTGCTCGGGGTTACTTGCCAAGGCTTGTGGGAGGGGATTGCCGAGAGTGTGGTTCCCATTTTGCCAGTAATTTAGCTACCTGTCCAAAGCACACAGGTCGTAAACATTTGCGGCTCGCTTTAAATGGGTTTCTCGCAGGGCATTTGGCCACATCTTTTGGCACAGTACAGCAAAAAGCAAAGAGATCTATCTAAAGTGTTTATTTCCTGCAATTTTCAAAAATATTTTCATGCTTTTTGTGTGACACGTTTCTAATTCTTCGCCGTTTCTTCTGGGCCCGCTAGGAAAACAAAAACGACAGAATTCTTCTTTGGCGGCTTGGTTCAAAGATGCTTTGTGTTAAGTTAGGCAAACACCATGTGGACTGTTGTTACCATTTTGTGTTGATTAACAATTGTCTGCCGGGCCAAATATTTAAAGCATGAAATCGTTTTGCCATGCGCGTACTTCGAACTATTTTCTTTACACCAGTTGAAAACACATGCGAACTGGCCACAATGAGAACCTTAAGCGCAAGCACATCAGCACAAACAAAGGCATTCGATTGTAGATTGAGATCTCGATCTCTTAGCCAAACCATAAATTGGTTTCAGTGTGAGAATTTATTGATTAATTTTGGTCCAACGCCGTTTGCCAAATAAGTTCAACGCCCTTCGGAGGCCCAAAATGAAAAGCTAAACGAATTCGGATCCGAAACCCCAAGCCCAGAAACCTTTTTGGCCAGATAAAACGCAGCGTTAATTAAAGCCGATCACCGTAATTTGTTTGTGTCCGCCGGGTCTTTCGAAAAGCGGGCCCTTTATGAAAAACCTGCCCTGCACTTCGAGGCTGCAAATTCGCCGAGTGTCATGACTGAAATTGAATGTATAGTATTCACTCGAACATCTGAATTCGAGGAATGCTGATGGTGCTGCTGCCTTTGGGTTTCCTGGCCAAAAGCGCGTGTGACCCCAAAAAGAGAAATTCCATCCAGATAAATGATGCAATTCTTGCTTTGGGTTTCGGGTTTCTCGTTTCGGTTTCGGTTTTGGGCAGGGCCCTTTCCTAATTGACTAATTAAACTCGGGTTTAATAAAGTAGTTGGGCCTAGGGAAGAGAATGATTTATGTTGGGTTGTTCGTTGGTTCGGTCTTCGTTTTATCTGACTTACATCGAGTAGGCTTTCTTTTGAAAGAAAGCATTTTTCGCGACAGCCACGAGAACTGAAAGATGTCAGTATTCTAAGCTCGGTGAAAGTTGTTTTTGTCAATGGCCAAGAACTTCTTCTCGTTTTGTGTGCTCAATAGTGCGACAAATGGCCAACTGTCCAAGCATCATCTCCATCTCCATCTCCAGTTGGACCGTCTTCATCATTACAATCGTCGCATCGTCATCAACTCACGTTCTAAGTACAGATTGGCATGTGGCGTTGCCCGGCTTAACACAGAAATCATAATGGTAATGGCAATCATAATTGGAACAATAAAAAGAAAATCCCAGAATGGTCATCAGAAAGTAAAAGACTTTAAATGCCATCTCTTGGATTTGCTTGTAATGACATTGACAGACAGACTTGCACTTGTCCGGCGTTCAAACTGGCTTGGCTCTTTCCATTTCGGACTAGATATCTTCATAATTTCCGAGAAAAAAACGCGTCCGTCTGGATTAAGCTATTTGGATTTTACTTTTTTTGAATACAACGAAACTACCATACAAACCTTAGATCGATATTTCTGTTCTCAAGATGTCAAAAATTATTTCTAAGAAAACTTTATCAATTTTTTCACCATTAAAATCATTATGTTCTCCCTTTGGTAATACCGCAATAATTTCTTTTTTGCGCATATGTATGCAATTAAAATTTGCATAGCAAAAACTTTTTGACTTTAAAGCTGAGCTTGTGGCCTTTGTCACGTTTAGCCATTTGGCCACTGTTAAGTCTGTTTAAACTTCTGTAGTTTTCAGTGGCTTTGTTGGGCCTTCGACTGCCTCTTAAGCGGCACTCGAAATTAGCCCAAAAGGCTTCAAATGCCTCATTTTGTGGATCTGTGCTGTCACGTTTCGAAAACAAGATTGGTTCGGATTAGGCCGCCGACGTTCGAGTTCTTTTAGACCTGGCTAACTGCCTTCGTTTGACTCTTTGATTCATTTACGCTAATTAGGTGACACAATTCTCACCTAATGTGCTCTGATAAGCGTACTGGAATGTTGTGGAAAAGCCCGAATGAAAGCAACAAATTGCTGCCTGCCAACAGTTTGTGGCACTCATCGTTGCCCCGACCCTTCTGGCCAACTGCCAAAAGCCGTGGATAGTTGCCTGGCTGGCTGCTCATTTAAATTTTACACACAGCTCCCGGGCTTCGGCTTCGGCTTGGCCATTTTT